TTTAAATAAAGAAAATGTGTCATTTAGTAAGAATTATTAAAAATATATTAAATTTATTTTACTTCTAACACCGTTAAGAGTCAAATATGTTGACCGTTAAAATAAGGGGGTAAGTGTATTTTTCATAGTACGAGGGGGTAAGCGTTACATAGGAAATAGTACAGGGGGAAAAGTGTATTTTGCCAATTTTTTTATGAGAATTATATGCTACCTGACTTTAATAGTTGAAGATTAAGTTATTAACTGCTAATTAATCCATATATGACTGGGTAAATTACAACCAGCCCCCTGAGGTAAGGTTGATTTATGAAAAAAAAAACCTCATGTTTCAATAATTACATTCACCCCCTTGTGATTTGTATATTTCTTACATTGACACCCTTTTGTAGGGGGTGGATGTAAGATATTTCCAACTGCGGAGGGTTAGATGCAATTTCTAAAAAATAAGGGTTTTTTTGTAATTAGACTCTACCTCAGGGAGTCGGTTGTAATTTACTCTATATGATATGATATTATAAAATACAAACATTTACAACTCCCAATTTTCTATGTAGGAGCTTTTAAGACGTAGCCAGTTATTTATTAAAATTTATATTATGGGTTTATTTGTTAATACAAAATTTTGAATGGCTGAAAAGACAAATTCGGATTAGCTGAGGGAGTAAATTGAGAGATTCTTTCTCATATACTTTCTGAATTCTGCCAAAGCGAAACAATAGTGAGACTGCCAGTTAAGAAAATTGGGGAAACATAATTCTCTTTCAGGCTTTTCTTCAAACAGGTTTGTTCTAATTCCTCGTTCCATTTTTCAGTTCATCGTCAACACAGGTGAGGTCGCTAAATTCTGTACGCGTTGGTTTTCGATTGTGTGATTTAAATCCTTGAAATAGCTCCTGAGAACGATGAAATTTGTTTTCTACAATTGAAAATGCGGCGTTCAAAAATCGGCGAGGAATTTCGTCTCTAGCATCATATTCATTGATCTTTCGATAATTTTCAGCAAATGTGCAGTTGTTTTTAGCTAATTTTAACTTAAATTTTTATTTTCCCTCTTTTGCTGTTCTGCAAATAATGTTTCATGATGTACGGCTTCTGTTGGCTGGGGAGACTTATATGTAGGGAGAAATTCTGAGATTCAGGATTATTCGGTGATGCATGAGTTGAATGCTAACACTGGTGATACATGCGAAGAAATTATCAAAAGAGCATGTATCTTGTAGAGAATTGGCATCTGTATTCTGTAATGGTCCATTTTTTCTTTTGTTGAAATGTATTTCGAGGTATCTGATAGTCAGTGCTGCTAAATTATGATCCAATGCAGGTAGTAGGATGGTAGGAGCTGAAGCTGGTCATGTTTCAAAGAATGTATCGAGTGAAGGAGATGAGACGGATGAGGAACCTGAGGAAGATCCAGAAGAAGCGATGGATGAGGAACCTGAAGAAGATCCAGAAGAAGAGGAAATAGACACGGAAAACGAAGAAGATCCTGAAGAAGATCCAGAAGAAGAGGAAATAGAAACGGACAACGAAGAAGATCCTGAAGAAGATCCAGAAGAAGAGGAAATAGAAACGGACAACGAAGAAGATCCAGAAGAAGAGGAAATAGACACGGAAAACGAAGAAGATCCTGTAGAAGATCAAGAAGAGGAAATAAACGAGGAATCTTATAAAGAGGAGCTGCCAGTCGAAAATTCACATCTTCTGTCTGCGACTAGTGGTGGCATAGCTAGCCAAGATTGTGGGAATGAACTCAGTAAAGACCCAGAAGGAAAAAATGGAAAGAAAGTGGTTGAAGCAAGTGGAAGTTCTGGAAGAAAAAGGCAGAGTCGGTGGGACCTCCAATGGGAAGGGGAAACTCGTCAAATAGATGGAAATAGTAAAAGACGAAAAACCAGGTGGGATAACAATGACACTAAGAAAGATTCCTTTGATTCGGCTGGTATCACTAATGGCTTGGATCTTTTGAAGGACCGAAATGTCTTAAGCTTGAAAGAGCGTTTACTGGAAACCAACAAGAAGCTAATAAGTAGTACATGTAGTGCCAAGAAACGGGAGAAACTCATAAATAAAAGCAAGCTTATTATAAGTAAGTTAGCCAAGGCTAATCTGCGGCAACCTACCAGGTCATTTGTGAAGAAAATTCTGGTTCCGGTGAAAGAGTATCCAACGTATAATTTTATCGGTCTCATTCTTGGACCAAAGGGAAGTACCCAAAAGAAAATGGAAAAGGAAACCGGTGCAAAGATTCTTTTGAGAGGTAAGGGTTCGGGTGAATCTGGTCCATTGTCAGATGAAGAGTTGCATGTTTTAGTGGAGGCTTATAACCAACGGTCACTGGATGCTGCTGTGGCCATGGTCGAGAAATTGCTTATTCCAGTGGCGGATGAAAATAACGATCACAAGAGAGCTCAGCTGGTGGAGCTTGCGAAACAGAGAGGAACGTATAAAGATAAAAATATATGCGATTTGTGCAAAGAGCAAGGGCACAGAAAGTACGCATGCCCTCTTCAAGAATCCACTTTCGAAGCTGTTTGCTGCGATGTCTGTGGAAGTTTTGGCCACCTGACATTAAATTGCAGCGTGCAGAGAAAACTGCAAGAATCTTCCGGAACAGTGGTTGATCAGACAAATTTGTACGTCGGCTATCTATCTCACGAAATTGACGAACAAAGGTTGAAAGAGCTGTTTTTACCCTTTGGGAAAATTGAAAAGACAGCGGTACTCAGAGATCTAAGTACTGGCTTGAGCAAAGGGTATGGCTTTGTTAAATTTGAAGATCCATCGGATTCTGCTGCAGCTGTGACTTATATGAATGGGTACAAAATGAACGGTAAAATGTTGGCAGTTAGAGTGGCTGGAAAGAAACCAGTTTCTGGTCCACCCTCGCAATTGGGCCATCACCCTAATATTGTGGGTCCCGTTTATGTGCCAGCTGTACCGATGCTTCCGGAAGCTTCTAATGAGATGAATGGAAGTTTGGGTTTTCCTTCTTCATTGAGTTACTGTGGGCCCGACAGTCATATAGCAAGAACTGAGGCTTCAAACATTTCTCCGTATGTTGTCACAAGCACTACGAACAACTTTTCGTCAGGTTATGATTTTTGTGACCGAATCCCTAGTTTGTTACCTAATTCTGAATCTGTTATATTTCCTGGTCATCCAGACTACATTGGTTCACAGTTCAATTCATACTTCACCAATCCAGTGATGAATGAAACCCTAATGGCAGAACCTGAGAAAAAGTCTGCTACTTATTCCTTTGCTTCTCGATTCCGCGGATAATTTCACGGACGAGACTTTTCTGTAAATCGGTTATGTAATTACCTAGAATTTGTTTGCTCATTGTTGTTAGATGAAACACATTTCTGTGGCCAGTGAAATGAGAAAAGAAATACATATTTTGTCTTTAGTTGAAGTTATAAAGTCACAAACATACTCGTACCTTGATCAAGACAGATATTGATCGAACATAGATACATACATACATACATATATATATAGATACATACATACATACATACATATATATATATATATATATATATATATATATATATATATATTAGTTTGTCGCATAAATTAAGAGAGTTCATCTCTAATACTGGCTAAAAACAATCTGAGGTCCTTGCCTCTTCTTGCATGTTCAGGTGAGACTTCATTGTCTGTATCGCTCAACTCAATCACGTCCATACACCTCGTTTCTTGGCTTTTTGAAGCCACGTGCACGTGCCTACGTGGCAGAGGACTAATAAGATCTATTATTTCTGTTCCGGAAGCACTAAAACTGTAACAACCAGAAATCGAGTTTCCTCCATTGTTGCTGCTATCTTCATCTTCCAGATTATTAACATGCGTCGTTAGGTAATCTGTACCAGCGTTTCTGATCTCCTGTGGGACCACCGATCCTCTTGTGGCGGTGCTCTCTTGTTCAATTTCGAGCAGCAATTGCTGGAGTTTTTCGTCAATTTCCTTCATTTCTGCTATCTTCTTCGATTTTGTTTTACGGGCTGGTTTCTGTTTTTGTGCTTTTCTTTGCTGGAATTCCAGAATCTTCTCAGGGCAAGCACTGAGAGATAAGGACAAGTGAACAAGTTCACCTCGATAATTATTTTATGATCGATAATTTCTCAATATTTGCGATGAATAAATACTCTTTATCATATTATTAGGATCTCTAATTCGTATTATACCTTTCGACAAGATCAGCTGGTATAGCGGAAGATTGGAGCCCATCCATGCCTTGCCAAGAAACCTCGAAATAGTCTCTTCCTAGACTTTTTCTTTGCTTCACAATGCTCGATACAGGGCACTCCACTGGCATCTGTATTCCAGCAAAATTTCATTCAACTTTATTTTTTTTAAATACAATATAAGTTATTCCTTGAATTTTCAAAAACTTAAAAACACTAAAAATTACATGCGAAAAATTACTATTAGATAGACTCATACCTCATCGATTGGTAAATGGACTCCAAATTCTGATGATGTGGCACGGAGATTAGAATATCGCCTCAAATTTCTTTCAGCAATCTTCGGAAGGATGTATTCATCTAAGCCAATAAATAATACATACAATCTTTCATAATAATCGAAGAAGAACAACATAGAGGAGGAGCATGGAGATATGTCATGAGGGATTGTATGTGTTTATAAATTATTAACCTGTTTTTTCGGGAGGCCATTCGAAAAATTGAGCACAAATTTGATGCAGTTGGCTACGGTTAAACGGATAGAGAGCAAGAACCCTATACAAACAGAGGATAAGAAACAGAGCAATTTTTTTTTTAGATTAATATTTAAAAATTCCGGTTATAATATTGCAATTCCGAGGGCGAATTTAAACCTGTGCACAACATCTGAATCTGCTGAATGGCACTTCGGCTTCAAGTATGCATTGATCACTTTCAAGAACTGATTGTCGATTGGTAAATCGCATTTAATTCCTACAAACAGAGTAACATTAAGTTAGATCAAAATACGGAACACTTCCAGATAGCATTTAGCACAAAGATCTCCCCCTTAATCCAAAACCCCGATAAAAATGTCAAAAAAACAAATGTTATTCAAGCCAAATGATAAAGGCTAGCCTCGATTAGCTCACCATGATCAGTATTATTTTCTTGAAGGCCCTTCTTTTTTGAGCATTTTATCTTCTTTACAATAGACAAGCCCTCCGATGCAAACCGTTGAAGAACAGACGAGTCACCGATCGATTTCACAATCTGAGAAGCTGACTCCTAATTCCAAGACAAAAACGAACGTCACATAGGAAAGTTTGTCTGCATATCAGAAATAAATATAAACAGCCAATTAATCTAAAACGGTAAGAAAAGAACTTGGGAGAAATCTTACAGGTCCAAAACCACGAATGCGTTGTGAATAATCACTGCCAAGAAGAACAGCAAGCGTAATCTGAAGGCAAGTTCCAAAGGTACGTAACATTAGCATACACAACTTATACGGTGTTCGTAATTTATTATTGAAATTGAAAGAGGAAAATATTACTAAGGAGTTTCTTCCGAATCCAAGCTCTCTCTCGATATCATCCATTTCATAGCAAACAACATAACCTCCTTCTCCTTAAAATCGGAAAAAAAAAAAAAACACAGTGGAAATAAGTATATATATTAATCGACCGAGTGGAAAGCAGAAAACTCGATCGACTCACCGAGACAAATATCTCTATAAACTGTTCTTGCACCGAACAAGAAGGCATCAGAATCGGATGTGAAGCATGCATCCTGATCATCATAATTATTCGAACAAAATAATTGAGAGTCGAAGCAAGAATAACGTATAATAGTAGCCAACTATAAATGAATCGTAATCAGAAAACGATTAAAAAAAAAACGAGAGCTTTCACATACACATAGTGATTCTGAGTTTAGCAACGCACATTGAGCTTCAGCCTCCTCAATCCTGCATAAGTTTTGAGCCATAAATAAGCACAAGTTAGAATATTTTATATCACCGTTCCGACAAGCTTTGTTTTTCTCGTAAATGTATGCAATGTCACAAATCTTTAAATGCGTAAGATTTGAAATAAAATAGTAAACGCGGCCAAATAAGTACCTACCCATCTAAGCAGGGTATCCCAAGTGCCATACCAAGAAATTTAGCTTCTTTAATCATGCATGAAAATGCGGACCCCATATTTCTTTTAACAGACGACACATTATGTGTATCCCCAGCATCCAGAACCACCTGCAGAGAGTGTTTACAACACTAAGTTAGTAAGTACGAAGAATCTTGATTTCCGAAAAAAAACCGAGGTATTGTAATTGCACAAAGGCTCACTCAAATTGGCTGAGTGAAATTCCTTATTTTTTTCTTTTTTTTTTCTTTTTACCTCGTTTCCGGCGTTCAACCGGCGCCGATAAGTAGATAACTTGATAGCGGGAATTGAACCATCTAGACAAACCAATACAAACCGTTTGTATAAGTCAATGAAAAAAATTAATATCCCGAATTCCCAAACAGAAAAGAAAAGAAAGTAAAAAAATTATTAACCGGTGACAAAGATAAGGCTGCAATTCAAAGCGATGAGGGATCGGAGGCGGTGGAAGAGGGTCTGCAAGTAAAGCTTGTCTTTGATGGGGCAATGGGTTTTATTCACTTTTTGAAGTTGAACCATCCAGCACGATAGATCCACACAAACCCTCTTGTTCCTATTTCAAGAACCAATGATTAGATTAAATTGTGAAAATAGAAAAGGAGGAGTGGGAATCAATACACTTACTGGAGATGGTGGAGAGGAATTGTTTTCTTGCAAGATTCTAGAATATCCCAAAGATTCTTCACTCCCATCTTCGCCGATTCTTCTTTCACTTTCTTCGCTTATGGGTTACATCAAGTGTTGTCTGTGAAATTCATTACTGAAGAAAGATTGGTGCTTTTTTTCTTTTTTATTTTAATTTTTTTCCGCAAGGAGGGAATATGATTTCTTCGTTTGAAGTGACCGTTGCTGTTTCATAGTTTCAATTTTTTGAAATTTTGTCTACAAATTTCTGGCTTCTCTTTACGGAGGAGAGAGGGAGCGAAGGGTTTGCACGCTTTTTAATCTTTAAAATAAAAGGGTAAATTACGGCCTTGACCCCAAGGTAAGATCAAATTACAAAAACACCCCTTAAGTTTTACAACCATTCCTTCAACTATGAATCTTTTTACACGTCCACCATTGCGGTATCAAATTTAGTGGAATATTCTAGATTATGTGGATTATTGTTCATTTTGTACGCAAAAACTCCATTGGATTTCTCAATTTTGAAAAAAAAATGATCATAAGATGTGTCTCTTGACTTGTAAATATTAGATTGTAGTGCACCAGAAACTGCATTTTTGCACAAAACGAGTACAAACTAAATGACATTCCACGGAATCTAGAAGATTTTATTGAATTTGACACGATAAAAGTAGAAGTGTAAGAAGATTCATAGTTGAGGGGGTAATTGTAATTACTCAAACAAAAGGGTTATTTCGTAATTTGACCTTACCTCAGGGTGTGACTATAATTTACCCAATAATATAAAACATTTTAAAATAATAATAATAATAATAATAATAATAATAATAATAATAATAATAATAATAATAATAATAATAATAATAATAATAATAATAATAATAATAATAATAATAATAAATAAACAGTTCACTTGAATGTAAAATACCAGAAAGAGAGCCAAATAAGAAAATTGTTGCAGCAAAATAAAAGCCTTACAGTTTCTACCATTAAACTGAACAACAAATGAAGAAGCAACCAAACCAAGTCCAATCTTATTCGATCAAGCACAGACTTCTCAGAGTGACTTGTTTCATCACAATTAAAAGAATCCCGAAAATATAGCAAACAGAAGTTATTACAAAATGCAATGTGATTCTCATTGTTGAATTACAAACACTTTATTACATAATATTAGTAGTCCTTGTTCCCGAAATTCTTGCACCAAATCTGCGAGGGAATTGGACGAACTGGAAGATGTGGGCGTCGCTGCAAGAAAACATTCTTGACTTAGTAAGACACATGATATATACAGATCAGTATACCTTATCACAAAGCAATTCAGACGATGAAAAGTGAAACAAAACTTAGAATCTTGAATAACAAAAAACAGTATTAGCTACAAAGAAAACATAAGAGCTTTACATAACTCATATATATATATATATATACATATATATAGTTTATTCTGCGCAAGGTAATGTTTTCAACTCTCAAGAAATTCCTATTTCACTCGTCCATTTTAACGTACTCCAGAGAACTTCGAAGATATGTCCTTACGCATTGCCAACAAACAACCGAACTTCAATCCTCGTTTGATGTTTTAAAGCAAAATGCCAAGCGAATTTTTTTTTACCCAAATATACCATTTCTTATTCTATGTGAAACAAAATATTATGTCGTCCCGAACTAACCCTATTTGTTAGGTCTGTAGTAAAAGGACCTAACTTCTTTATCCATGAAAAGGAAACTCTTTCCTTCCTCTAATTTCCCACCCGGGTCCATACTCGACGAACAAATTATGTCATTACACAAATCAAAGTCCGTCATTTAGAAAAATTTTGCGGAGTCTCGGTTAATGATGCATTTAATCTGAAGGGATTTCTTTACCGATTCGATACCGTGGAAAAATATAAAGCATAAATATACTCCCAAGAGATATCATGCATTAGGAATTTATCGAAAACAATAACCTAGTCCATTAACGTTTTGAAGTATTTGATTCTTAGGTTAGGAGCCGATAAAATAACGAGATAAGCTCCATAATATCAAGGAGGACGAATTCTCACAAGAACGATAATAGTAATACAAAATTGAGATCGGATACACGACCGAAAAAAAATTATCCTTTCGTTTTATTGCCACCAATTCAGTAGATGTTCTAGTTTCAGTTATCATCTTTAACTAAGAAAATAATCTCCATTGCGCTTATACAAAACAAACATTTATAAGCAATCTCACTCCGTATTGAAATCACATAAATACAAGAATGCCCTAAATCCGTTCAATTCAATAACAAACCCTCGACCCCCAAAATTAATCAGTCAAACAAACCAAAAAAGGCATTAAATCCAAAATCAACAGGAAAAAAAAAAAACAAGAGGGATAAAAATTGCGTTTTGTTTTTTTTAAAATCGCACCTCGAGCTCGGCAGATTTGATGGCGATGGGAATACAGATCAGGACGATGCCAACCATGGCGAAAGCAGTGTTGCGCTTCCAGTGCTTGGGGCGGCAGTTGGGCCCACCCGTCATGCTCCATACCTTGGCCCTAAAATCTCCGCCGTCGGCGTGGTGGTGCTCTCCTCCTCCGCCCATCTGATATTAGTCTAGCTCTAGTACTGGAGAAAATGCAGTTTCAGAAGTAAAGGAATCAAATGTGTATTGGCTTTTTTCTTCTGTTGTGCTTGAAATGAGTTTGATCTGAATCGGGTTATCGGGTGATTTTACAGCCTTTTTGTTTTGGGTCGGGCTTCTTTATTGGGCTTTCTTCTAAAGAGTTTGATCTGAATCGGGTTATCGGGTTATTTTACAGCCCTTTTTTGTTTTGGGTTGGGCTGCTTTATTAGGCCTGTGTTTTTGTCTTTCGATCATAGTAGCTTCCGTTATACTCTGTTTTTTTTGGCGGCGTACGTTAACAACCGGAGAAATTTGAAATTCATTCCGTTTACTTTAGCAACCTGGATAAACCCGATTAATTAATTTAAAGGAAATCTGATTTTTGTTTGATGAATTAAGATACTAGTTATGTGTGCGTGTGTGTGTGATTCAAAGGATGGCGGCTACTATGCAGGAAAAGCTCCGGCGAACAAATGTAAACCAAGCTCATGATGGATTTTCAACAAACCTCCTTTATTTCCGTGGTATACGTTTTTGTAGGTTTTGATGCGTATTTTAATTTTTATTACGATCGAATAATTAATTGTTCCAAATTATGACGAAAACATCCGGTGTTAACAGAGAATATGCTTTGTGCAGAGATTGGATGAAATAGCCCTTAATTATTTGCTCGTATATAGTCGTCTGAATAACTTGAAGATCAAGAACTCCAGGAACAACATCTTGAAGAACAACAGATGAAAATAAGGATGTTGAACCGGTGAGAATTTACTATTTATTTATGTAATAAATAAACACGGCATCTAACATGTATATATATTAATTTTGTGTAAATTAAATTTTGTCATTAGCAGAACCAAGGGTCAAAAAGAAAATGGGTTCCGCCTATGGTAGCACTTGCTCGAAGGAGGGTAGCTATGGAAATCGAAGATTATGAAGTTATAAATAAATACAGTGCATGTCACATGGGGTATTGGTCAATGGTCAAACACACACTCATGAGTTCTTGATGCAGTGATGGTGGACACGTTTTGTTAATCTGGGAATGCAAAGAGAGAAAATTTGGCAACACGTGGCTGTCACTTGTCTGATTCTCCCCACCACCATATATATTACATTTACACCACTCCATTAACAATCATTAGTTTTGTTAATTACTATACTGTTGTCAATGCCTTTCTTGCTTTCCTCTTCAGTGACAGAAAAAAACTGCACACACACACACACACACATTCATTCACTCACTCACAGAACTTGCACTGAAATGGGATTTTAACTTGTGGGTTGTGACTAATTTAGTGTGTACAACTGTGTGTGTGTGTGTGTGTGATTTCTTGATTTTTTTTTTTTTCTAATTTGAATTTTAGTGGTTTCTGGATATTTATTGAAATGGGGGGTGAATCTCTAGACTGGTTACCTGTTGGTTGGAGAGTTAGTGTGAAAGTTCGAAATTCTGGAAAAAAAGACAAGGTAATTAATTTGTTCAAAACCCACCCCTCTGATTGGCTAATTTTCTTGGGTTGAGATTTATTCAGTTCTTGCAATTACATTTATTGAACTATTTACTGTTCATTTTATATTGGTGATCATCATATTATAGTTTGATGCATGTCTGTAAACTATTGTTATTTTGATGCTGATCATTGAAGTACTTTGATTTGATGCATGCAATATATTACAGTTCTGTTTTTCCTTAATTGAATGAAGAAAAAGGAAAATTAGAAAATATTTCTAAGGTTATGGAGGGCTGGAAAAAAGATGATGTGGCTGCTGAAGTTAGGGATAAGTATCGAAAACAGCGAAAATAGAAAATCGAAGATATCTATCAATTCTTACTTCGATTTTTCACTTCATTTTAACAGAATGCAACAATTACCAGCACCTTCACTAGACCAAAAAGATTATGATTTAGTACTAGACCAGAGCTTTAGGGAAGATCTCTCGATTATTAGCTAGCTTTGCGTACGGTTGAGTATTATGTTCGGTTTTAATGTTTTGAACTTGGTCCAGTATTACGTCAACCCCTCAAACGGCCGCAGATTCAACTCAAAGCCAGAGGTTCTTCGCTACGTCAAAAGCTCCGTAAAAAATCCCAACCCTAAGGAGCCGAGTAAGGTGGATACATTTTCGTCTTTCGATTAATTGTCTCTTTTCCAAAAATACGGTGGTCTATATATATTTTTTTCTTATAATTTACAAAGGGTTCTTTTATTTTTATTTATATTGGTAGATCAAGATTGAAAAAACTGTGACAGAAAATTTACCACCGGGATGGATTAAGGAAATTAGAACAAAAAAGAAGGGCGGTCGGACTAGGAGAGACCCGGTACTGATTCCTTAATTACCCGTCTTTTTAGTAATACTTCAAATCGATCTCTATATTTCCTCACGAGTTTCTCTTTAATATCGACATTGTTTATTTGTTTGTCTTTTTGATTTTTGAAGTGTTACATCGACCCTGTAAGTGGACGTCATTTTCGCTCCATGCAAGAAGTTTTTCGCTACCTCGAATCAAAGGATGTGAGAAAAGCCGAGTCCAAGCCCGATAAAAAATGCCACATCAGCGTCGAGCTGGCAGGTCATTCTCAATCTGTGGAAGTTGATAAATTACCCCGTAGAAGCTCAAAAAGACTTGCTCGTGTGGAAGTCGATAAATTAGAAACTGAAATTCCAACCAATAAGAAGCAGAAAAAACCCATTACTACCGAAGAACCGAAAAATCCCGACACTTGTGTGGATGATCTATTGACAGATCCGTGCATTGAATTTGCAGTCAAAACTCTGACCGGTACAATTCCTGTCGAAGAAGATGTGAAGAAAGTTGGTGAGAGTTCGACAGTTTCTTCTATATGGGCTGATCCTTGTTTCGAATTTGCTGTAAAGACGCTCACTGGGGATATCCCGTTGGAAGATGCTTCGAAATTTCGAGCTTCATTACAGCAAACTGTAGATATGGTGATGAAAGGCGAATAGACGAGGAATTTTGATGTAAGAAGTGTAGTTTTGCATGTAAAATGAATGAGCTGGTCTGTAAAGCTGTTTGTGTGTAGAGAAGTTGTTGTGTAATGAACCTTCTTTCCGATCCGTTTTTAATTTCCGAAAATTCCCTTCTTTTTCCCCAAAAAATATCGTTATAGGTTAAAAAAGGAGTAGAAATTTTGAATCACGTCACATTTGATCTGAGAATTTCCGGTTTTGAAAGAGGAATCATTTCAGTTTTTTTGTATTTTTGGTTTTTTACATTTTTGAAATGTTTTGGAACGGAATTTGAATTATGTACAATTCTTGAATTTTTTTTTTTTTTCTGAAAAATATTAATTCTGATTAAATCCGTCCGATTTCAGTAGCCGGTCACACCAATTTTTATAATACAAAACGTAAGGCATCTATTTATTTATTTAACGTAATCAATAAAATGAGGACCAATCATGCTCAGACACTTGTGTTTTGGCATTTCCCGCCAAATCCTCTAAACAAAACCCTAATTTCGTCAATTGACAGCAGAAGGAGGAGATCGTGGAACTTGGATCATAATTTTCAAAATTGAAAGCAGAAACAAGATGCAAATCAAGGTGAAGTGCAGTTGTGGAGAAGGCGACTGCCCGGAGTGGGCAATTGTGGAGCTTCAGGGTGTCGTCGAAGCCCAACCCCTATTTCAGGACCGCATTCAAAATCTCCAGATCGGCGTTCTCTGCCGCCCTTCTTCTCAGGTTATCTACACTCCCTAATCGGTTGTTTTATATAATTAACCCCAAATTTCTGCCTTCTGCAAATAATTTATGAGCATCCTTTTTTTTTATATATAATATATTTCTGTTGTGTGCGCGAGCTGGTGGGTTTCAGTTTACACATTCATTTGCTGTTGCTTGAAGGGCCATTTTCAATTTTAATTTTAATTTTTGCCCCCTAATGGATTTTTCAGGAAAGTTACACATTTACAGTTGGGTACCATGAGCTGATAGGGTCAAAAGTCAGTCTGAAGAAACCGATTTTAGTGTTGAAGAAGATTAAGCTCCACAACAAAGAAGAAGAAGAAGACGACGACGAGGAAGGTGCCGGCGGTGTAAATTCTTCTAAGGCGGTAGAATTGGATGTGATTGGAGTTATTCGCCACAAGATATTATTCAAGACCAGGCCTAAAGCTCTTATAACTAGTAAGCCTAAAACTCATCACTTTAAATTCACAAGAATTCGATTACTTGTTTATATAATGAAGTTTACTAGCAATTTGTGTCGTCTGCTAAACCCTTGCTCAATTGATTGTTAATGCTTGGTTTATTTAATATGAGATGAAAAATCCAAATAATTGGGAATGATGAACGTTGTATAGTTAAATTCTGAAACGGTCTCGCTGAGTTGACTTTTGACTTGCGTTCTTCCCGAATACATTTAACGATGTTGGCGCTTGTTGTATTATGAAGGTTATTAAAGTTTGATTTACGGTTCTGATTTCGAACTGTATCCACAATCTCAACAATTACACACTGTTATACGGTTTTCCTTGTGTATTTTGGATGTTTTTGCTGAGGTGGATTCATGGTTTGATTCTTTCGCAGAAACTCAACCATTTGTGAAGGAAAAAATCGGTGCGCCCAGTCCTCTGTTGCCACACTGATTCGATCGAGCTGTGTTAGTCGTAAACCCGGTGGAGGTAAATTACATGAGGATACTATTGGAACTTGTGGTTTTTGCATGTAGCTGCTGTATAAGCATGAATTATCGTCTCGCATAACATTTATTTTTCAATTCTGTTATCATAATTTGCATGTAAAAAAAGAATTTTACTTGAAAGAAGTGGCTATCTGAGATCAAATTTGTAATAATAAATCGACAAGTTGAATTATTTAGTAATGCAAAGTTTACGATTATATACATACAATGATACAAAGCACTCCATATAGTAGTATCTACTTATACTTAGTTTTATACACAGCCAGCGAATAAAGTTCGAAGCACATGTTCTGGAACTTGCCATGGGGAAACCTAAGTCCCAATCGACTAAGTAAAAACCCGTTGCTTATTTCTTGAGGTCCAGATTTTGAGCAAGTTCATCGGTTTGATCCACGGCTATTCGAATGTAATTGTATTAGCCCGGTCCAGTTCAATCACCTTTTTTTTTTCCGGCAAACATAAAAAAGTATTTTTTTTTTCAATAAGAAAATTCGACTACATGTTCCGAAATTGGACATTTTATTTCTTGTTTGTTTAGTTCAATAATTCTCGATTAGACCCATAACTATAATAAAAACGAACTATATTATTTTATTGAAATTTTACTCTAATAAAATTGGACTTATTTTTGTGATATTTATCTTCGCAGTCAAACAAGGCTACTCAATTGAATGAACCACAACTTTTTGTAGTACAATTTATGAAACTGAAATGTTAAATGTCGTTTCAATTTTACTAATGTTGTTTTGACTTCGAACCTGATTTTGACATATTTCTATTTTGATTTTGGCAAAATTCAAAACACGAAAACTGTAGTCCTCTGGGTTAGCTTTCTAATCCAACTTAAATCCGCTAGATTGGATGCCGTATGACAAAGTTATGCATGAATGAATGACATTTTGAATTTTAGATACCTATATACATCAAAGTTGTGGGCAGTATCCATTGATTCATGTATATCTTTCTCGTCCGACATCCAATTTTGGTGATTCAAGTTGGATTAGAAAACTAACTCAGAATACTGCAAATTCTATTTTTCGGGTTTTGTGAAATTTCAAGTTAAAAATGATCAAAATCACGTTTGAAGTCGTAACGATATTATTAAAGATCGAACGACATTTATCACATCCCTTAATTTATATTTATATATTTGTGCGAAATAAAATTAAGAGAAGCATTATCTTATTATTTGGAAAATTCAAATAAAGGAAGGAAGGATATATAAGGAATTATCTGAAATTATTAATAGCAAAACCATTTTCGGATTCCGGATAATCTATTCGAACCCGGGTGGGCAATTTGGGAAAGGGCATAAATCCCGCGAAGAACGGATAAAGAAAGAAGAAGAAGAAAAAGGCTCATAATTTATCTGACAAGTTCGCGACAAACAAGCAGTTAAACAACTGGAGAAAATTCATTATTTTTCGTTCGAGGTATAAAAAATCTATCCTTTGTTTCGAATCATTTTCTGATCATATGATCTACAGTTCTCGCCTTTTTTTTTTTTTTAAATTTAAAACGTTATCCTGTTATTGGCCCTAAAATAATTTATTTATTTTGCTAACCTTATATCGTCTTCTCCGATTATTATTGGATTTAATTTATCGGATTTTATTTCAGTTTTCGTTATCTGAATTCTGTTTGTTGAGGGCCTTTTTTAGGGTTCCTTCTCTGTTAATTTTACTTTTGACGTTTGTGCAATTTAATTGTGGAAAATATTGGTACTTGGTTTCTCACTGTCGAAATTCTCTGGATTTATATTGAAGATTGTAGGATGTTGATGAAAATTGCACAAGTAATTTTTTTTTTTTTTTGTATGTAGTTCATGCTCAATTATTATTTTCCTTTTGTAGTATTGATGCCTTCTCAGGCTTGACGGTGTGGTTTTTTTTTTTCTTTTTTTTTGCCTTACAGTGTATCCGCCGAAGTTTCGTTTCTGCGAGTGATTTCCAGATACAGAGGATTATCAGACTGCTGATATGAAGTAATTTCTTCATCATTTTTTTTATTTGTGATGCTTTTATGATATTTTTCCTGTAAATTATATCGTTTGTCAATCGTCTCTTATCATGTACATGGGGATTGTTGTTTACCGTGCATATTCAAACTGTAAGCACGCGGTTTACCCGGTGCCAAAAAATGATTTATTGAAATTCATCATAGTTCATTCTATTTTAGTTACTTTACAATTACCTTTGCATTTTCTTGAAATTCAGATAATTAAACAATTTATATGGGGTTTTAGGGAACGTGTAAGATGGGACGAAGCTAACTTGGGAGAAATCGAAGCAAATAAACCCGTGAGGCAGAAAATAACCGAACCAAAGACGCCATATCATGCCATGATTGATGATGACGGTACGCTCAACACATGTTTGTTTCCTCCGTGATTAATGCTTGAGGGATTTTCTAAACCTTGTGGAGTTTTGTTATAATTTACGATCTCGTGTGTAAAATTTGTTCATGTTTAATGTATCCGTGCTTTTTTACTGCACGGTGTTTGATTATGCATGCCTAAGCCACGTAGAATTCCAGCTAGAGAGTTAATTTTCTTTGTTGACTTCGATATAAGGACTGTTGTTATTGGTTTAGTTCAATGCTGAAATTCGTCGAAAAATGTTGTCGAAATGAATGCAGGGTCGTTGTCTCCTATTAGAGGAGGAAGTTTCGATGATGGTTTTGAGGATGCAAAGCATGCAGAAGCTATACGCTCGGCGTTAAACGACGTAGCTTCATCTAGCAAAACTGCCTCAAACGACTCTGGCTGGACTTCTGATGAAGATGAATCCGATCCAATGGAACAAGATGGTCAAGGTTTCTTCTCTATTCTCTTCTTTAATTTTCTTCCCTTTTTCTCGTCACAAAAGCAAAAAGAATGGTGTAATAAAAAAAAAAAGAAAATCATCCCGATTTTCACTAATGCAAAAGTACGTATCAGGTTGTGATTCGGAGAGGCGAAGGAGCTTTAGGGAGCATAGGAAAGCGCACTATGATGAGTTTCACAAAGTCAAAGAACTCCTAAGAAAGGGTTCGTTTCTCGAAGAAGAATCTGATGAGGAGACAAAGAACAACGGTAAGAAGAACAGCCTTTCATCAGTAACTGCTGGTGTTAAAGATCTCGACATTGAGGAATCTTCAAATCCACCAAATGGATCTTAATCTCATATATGTTATATATATATATATACATAAAATACTGCTGCACCTTCACTTTAGGTACTACTATGAAACTTTTCGATTCTGTTTCGAAATTTGTACATAGTCGTTTCTCTTAACGGGCTTTAGCAGGTTGTACTGAGTTACTTGTCAATCTTTTCTGGGGCTATATGTTCTGATAATAATGTTCCAAAGTTTAGCTACTTTTTTCAATAAAAGAATTTGGCCTTTTGTTCGTTATGCAATTATGATTTATGATGTCATGGCCTTTTAGATTATATATTAATTAATTTTAATTTTATTTTATTGTCGGTATTATTACTGAAACTGGCCTACTTATCCGAAGAATCTTGAGCAAGTCGTACAAAAAGTTCGATAGATATTGTCTGGTTGGTTGCTTGGACCGTAGTTTGATGTTGAAAACGATGATCAATACCATCAACTGAATTTCATTTATAATATCTAATCATATTACTATATAAAAAAAAACATTATTATTTTTTATATCTTAAACATTTCAAGACTTAATAAGATACAAACTTTATTTATAAGCATGTTTTCGATATAAATATCATTATCAAGTGCACTAAACGACATGAGAGCAAATAAATAGCATAAAAAAGAAACATTACTAATAAGTGTAACTAACACAATAATTAGAGATTCATTGCCCAAAAGAAAAGATTTAAAGAAAATAAATAAATATCTTCTTCTTAATTTAATATCGGTTGTTCAAAGATGATCTTTCTCATCTTTATCTTTATCATCTCTCTTGTTCTGGAATTGTGGGACCACCTGAAATAAACAAATTAAATTATTATTAACATTACATTATTAATGTTATACTCCTATAAATTATATTATATTATATAATATATAATTTATAATTTATCCATCCCATGCATGTTATAGTATATATGAGAGATTGTATTATTATTATTATTATTAAAGAATATATATAAATATATATCTAGAGAGTAGAAGGAAGACAAACCTGATCTTGGCAAGATAATATTCTGCCTTTTGTGTCTGTTCTTCTCACACTAGGCTCTACAATGTCTACAAACTATTCTATGTTAATACTATAACAAAATTATTCAAAAATTAGATAAATTTTTAAGCTTGTATTAATAAATGGTTCTAATCTCATATAATTAGATATTTTTTGGGTTTGATTTATATCTATTAATAATTATATGAAGGAAAAAAAAAACAAATCAGTTAAATTCACAAATTATAATATTATCTATTGATGGAATTGATGCTATATACTATTAATTAAGATCTCATTTGATTGTCAAAATATAGTTAGTCAAACATAAAATTATATGATTTTATATTAGCCTAATGGTAATTGAACTAGAGGTGCTAGACAAGTTCAATACACAATTTCCAAACTTAATTAATTAAGCAAAGTAAGATCAAAATACAAAAAGATAATGATCAAGAGTTATTTGTATGTTTTCTCAACGCAATTCATATGATTTATCATCCTAATTGTAAATTAATGATAATTATCTAGCTATTAGGGTACTGTAAATATATACTAGCACTTTTCTAAAGTATAATATTATAAAATAATAGTATTGTTTGAGATATTTATTTATAGAGGGATATTTTTACCTGAGGCGGAGTGCCTTCTTCTCCGTTCCTTCCCCAAATCGACGGTTGAGTCCGCCGTGTCAGGTAAATAATGGTCAAGACGAGGAGGAAAGCGGCCGTTATTTTCAAACATTGTCTGAACAAATGAAGCCTCCATTGAGTTCAAGAAATCCACGTGTCTCTCGTTTGTCCATTGCGAATTTGATGATCCCCCAACTTTCTTTGTGTTTTTGGCCATCGGCCACCGCCGGAACAAGGCCGGAGCCGCCGCTTAGTGGTTGTTTCCGGCGGAATAGGGTGGTGATGGTGGAGGGTTAAATTATGTTTTGTTGCATTCATATACGAATGCTCCCATGTTCAATTTATAGTGTCACTTATTAAAGGTGGCTGTTTGGCTCAAACAATTTTCAGCTGAGAGTACCGTTTGTTTGGTACTCTCTCTCTGCTGTTGACACGTGTCACTTGTTCATCACATTCATTATATATATTTCTAGTTATTTTATTTATTTTTCTCCTTTTTCTTTTGGTTTGTTATCTTAACTAATTAATAAAACTTTTTGCATAAAATGTATTTGTTGATCGATTTTCGATGTCGTTGGAACCATTTTTTTTTTGAAAAATAAACATAAGTAGCATCATTAAAAATTCTAAATTTGTTTATACATGAGTGTTAATATCTTCGTGCCCCTTTTCGTGATTGACTCGAAAAATGAGGAAACAAATTAAAATTTTGAAATTAATAATAATAATAATAATAATAATAATAATAATAATAATAATAATAATTATTATTATTATTATTATTATTATTATTATTATTATGTCCAATAGGAGGAAGCGCGTGTGGAACAAATTAGTACGGTGCAAGTAAGGAAATAGGAAGCAGAAGCTGAAAATATCTTGAGTTTAGGAGAGATGGGGGATTGTCGAAAGATATTTTGTTCTACTGTGTCACGTATTAAATAATTATTCCTTTGTGGAAAAAATATCAAAGTACATTTTCTTTTTATTTGTTTATTTTTTCTTTTCATTTTAATTTTTTATTTTTTGGTTTGTATGAAAAGATCTTTTTTTTTTTGTTGAATTTATGAAAAGATCTAAGACCATTAATAATAGGGATAGTGATGTTATCCAATTATAATTATTTGAAATATCTTGTCCCAAATGGTTGTTACAAAACTCCTAATTTGCTGACCTGGCTACCTTTTTGGCTTTTGACCATTTCTTTTTTCTATATCCGGCCTCATTTTGGGATAGTATTTCTATTTTCTAATTTGTGTTTCCATAACAATTTAAGAATGAAAAACTTCTTTTAAAAATAAAGATATTTGAATGTGTACTTGTGGAGGAATTTGATAATTAATGTGAGGTTTTTTTGTAAAAAAAAAATATTTATTGTAACAATCAAATAATGTTAGGAAAAAATGGAGGTTTTTTTTTTTTTTTTTTTTTTTTTTTTTAATAATCACCCTTAAAGAATTTGAGTCCCAATTTAGAAAGCTAATTTATTTTGGGAAGAGGGGAAAATATTTCTAAAATGGACCAAACATAACCACAATCATTAAGATGTCACATAGTTGGGTCATTGAGATAACTTTTTTTTTATAATAATTAATTATAAATGTATATATTTATTAATACATATATTTTTTACTGGTTCCTCAATTCCCCTCCTGATGTCTCGAATTCATGACATTGAGATACTACACATAGTCAAATACATCGGGTAATTTTTAATCACTGATGTGTTAAAATAACTTTTCACCAAGTACACATACATATGGGTGCAAATCAACAATTAATTAATAATCCCACAATATATTTCATCGAGTGTTGTATCAAATAAAACCACATAGTTGTATGGAAAATTGTAAATTCCATAAATCATCTTGTACAGAAACAATATTTCGGCACATAGTTTAGTAGAAAACGTAATTTATTTGAAAAGGAGAGAATTTACATACACATGGAGAATATTAAAAGGCACTTAAAAAAATTGTTATATTCCACGTTAAAGATGTCACAAAATTTATAGCACACCGAAGCTGATAGAGACGACTTAAAAAAATGATTAATTGAATTTATGATGAGATTGTAACAAAGACTTGGCACCACGAGAGATGGGCCCACCTGTTCATACTGGCTGCCTATTTTTATATGAGGACAAAAGGGTAAAAGAACAAAAAAAGGAAGGCATCTAGAAAATTCTGGGATAAGATTCTCAAGTGTTCAATAACTGAATAGCAAAACCGGGTCAAAAAGAATGTTTTTTTTTTATTGCAAAATGCGAAATTTCTCTCTTACAGAAGCTTAGTGTCCACAAGGAACCGACCCTCGTTGAAATTAAAAAATCTCATATTGTGGTTGTCAGTACTCGATTCTATGACCTTTGCACAAACTTACCATCACCAAACCGGTTGAACTATGAAAATTGAGATTGATTTACCTTTGATGGGCCTAGGCCAAACGGCCCAAATTAAATAGCATTGATTCTTATGGCTATATATATCAAGATCATGGCTATATTTAATTATTTATCATCTATTCCATGGTTTAGAAACGAAAATATATAGATAAAAAAGAATAAGAATTATTAGAATTTATCTCCTCCACTTGTCTACGAATCTGCTAATAGTCCTTTTCGGCCAAAGCCCATTTACCCCCATTCAACAATCAGGGTCCAGTGAACCAATATACTGAATTTAAGATTATTTATTCTTATTGCAAATTAATTTATGAAAACTCAATTTATTTAATATAACGAATTTCTTTTTTTTTTTTTTTTTACAGGAAATAAGTAATTTTTCTTTTCATAAAATACAAAGTTTATATATCCAAGATAATGGCAAAGCCCAAAGGAGAAGTCTTTTTAATTTTTTTTTTCCCTATGGGCTCACCTTCTGGATTTTATTTATATCATAACTTGGGCTTTTTGGACTACATAGTTATCAATTCCCATTTTTTTTATTTTTTCTGGATTTTATTAATAAAAATTCAAAATAAAAGATCAGGAAAATGAAATACCCTTTCAAAATAAATAAATAAAAATAGTATAGAAATATGATATTGTAACAGCAAAAACAAAAAAAAAATAAAACAAAAAAAAAAAAGTCATTTTCTTTATTTATGGATGGTGAAATATAATAAATTGTATTTTTGTAGGGTTTGAGGATAAGATAAATGGGAAATAAGCAACATAATAATCAGTTGGTCTATCCATCAAGATTCTGGTTCTGCAAATTGTCTGAGGGGGACCAAAAATCTTCAATCTGAGTTTGGATCAGAATCACCTTTCTGCCACTAGTTTTTATTTTCAGCCACATAAGATTATTATTTTTTTTTTTGATTTGTTTTTGTATAATTAAATTGTGTATCAGTGTATGTATATATCTACAATGTGTGAACTGAAAGAATTCACACAAGAAAAGGGATTTTTTGTTCTATCGGAATACATTTTCTTCCATTAATGCAGATTTTTTTAATTTTTTTTTTATAATTGTATATTTTGAATAATAATAAATAAATAAATAAAATCATCTTCAGTGAAGAACTCAGACTATACAGTAGAACCTCATAAATTAATAACCTTGATTAAATAATAGTTTCTCTTAAAACATGTTAAATTATTAACTCGATAATTTAATAATTCGTTAAATTAATAAAATTTTCCTAGTCCCAACTGTATTAATTTATAAAGGTTTCACTGTATATACATAATTTGCTCAATACAAGATTGACGTGCATACCTGAAAAATACAAAATTAAATATTAAATCAATGATAAAAAAAAAAGGGGAATATTCGATCAATATTAGTATTACTAGTATTTCAAAATAGTATTTTTCATTTACCCCATCTAATTTAATTGTCAACCCGTTTGACTAATGATCGTGTTAGTAGTGTAATTAAAGCCATAAATTCCAATTGTTTGTCTCGATTCGTTGCACTACTCACAAAGATGCTATATTTAGACTTTTCTTCTCTCTCAATTCATTTCTTATTATAATTGTTATAATCATTTATTAAATAATGTTTTGTTTTTTTTTTCAACTTTGATATATTACGTCGCATGGGAGAAAATACTAATTATTAACAAAAGAAATTAAAAGTATAATTGTTGTATACATGCATCAAAATCTAGCCATAGTAAAATTTAGTAAAGATTGTTGGCTATGTATATATATTATAATATATAAAAATCCAGTTCACACGAGCAATTGAAAACCAAAATCCAGAATTTGGATTCATATTAATTACAGCTGATTTAATTTGACCAAACCAAAATTAAAGATTTCCCCAATCAACTTCCACAATCAGATTCCCATAATAAATTACAAAAAGTTAAAATAACAATTATATTATATATTTCCCAATGAAAATCCTAATTGAATTATGAAAATATTTCACATTGATAAAATCCAAAATTTGGATTAGTGTCAATAAATTGATTCAGTCAAATCTCCCAAAATTCAACCCAAAAATCCACATATTAGATTCTAAAGTCTGAGTTGAATTAATTGTATTCAAGTATTAAACAAAACACGTAATTAAGAAAATTCAACGGCACACTAATTACAGTTTGTCCAGAATTAATTGAGCTGTCTGACTCCATCCACTCTTCAACGGCCACACCCCCGCATATTACATATATACCCCACCGAAACTTCTCGCTCTTTCCTTCCCTTTCACTTTTTATTTCTCCTTTTTCCACCATTTTTCTCACACACCTAAATTTCCCCTTTTACTCCTTCCCTTTATCTCTTTTTCCCTAATTATACACTCAAAGGAACCTTCTGGAATTACCATAACTCTTTCTCTCTCTATCGCTCCTCTCTTTCTCTCTCTACCCCCACAGGTCACAATTTGATTTGATTTTGAATTTGATTTGATTTTCAACTGAATTAACCTGTGTGTAAGTTTAATTTATGCCTTCTGTTATCTTCGTTCGTCTTTTTGTGGTGTTTGTTGCTGAGATTGATGGTTGATTTTTCTGGTTTTTGATAGGAGAGGAGCGGTATGACACCGCCGCCGGTGGATCGGACTGGTGGAGGGGAATCTACGGCCGCCGATATGCCAAGGTCTCTTCCGACGCCGTTTTTGACCAAAACTTATCAGCTTGTCGATGATACGGCGATTGATGACATCATTTCGTGGAATGAAGACGGATCTACTTTCATCGTTTGGAATCCGACGGAGTTTGCCAGAGATTTGCTGCCAAAGTATTTCAAGCACAACAATTTCTCCAGTTTCGTTCGGCAACTGAATACTTACGTGAGCTTTTGCTAATCGAATCCTTCGATCTGTAACGATGAATTTTGGGGTTTTTTTTTCGGTTATTGATTGAGTTGCTTATTTGATGAATTTTTAGGGATTTAGGAAGGTTATGCCTGATCGGTGGGAGTTCTCCAATGAATGCTTTCGAAAAGACGAGAAAAAGCTCTTGTGTGAAATCCAGCGCCGGAAAATTGCTACGCCGCCGCCGACCGCGGCGGCGACGCTGTGTGCGGCGGTGTCAGAGCACCTAACTCCAGCTGCACCACAGCGGACGGTGTCTCCGTCGGACTCCGGCGAGGAGCAAGTACTTTCCTCATCTAATTCCCCCGGCACCGTCCGCGAGTTCAGCGGAAGCACGGCGGAGCTAATCGGAGAGAACGAGAGGCTCAGAAAACAAAACGTGCAGCTCAGTAAAGAGTTGGACCAAATGAAGAGCCTGTGTAACAATATTTACGCTTTGATGTCGAATTTCGCCGGCACGAACAAACATAACAGCAGCAGTAACAGCAACGATCGCCCCGGGCTTAGCTGTAAACAATACATGGCTGAGAACGGCGTGAAACCGTTGGATCTACTACCGATGACGAGATTCTGCGAAGAAATCCAAACCGCCGTCGTCGCCGCGGCGGCGCACGGCGGCGAAGCATGTAATATCAGATCCGCAGCGGAGGAAATAGGCGCCAGATTGTTCGGAGTGCCCATAGGGCTCAAGCGTGGTAGGGAAGGCGAAGGTAGTTCGGCGGATCATGAAATGGAGCTCCAGCTGCAGCAGCCGGGTCTGGATATCAAACCCGAACCGATGGATGAAGATAACAGCGGCGACGATCTGGCGGAGGCGTCGTGGTTGAGGCGGAGCAACTCGAGAAATCGTAGGGTATAAAATTGGTGTACTTCAGGTGTAACGGTGGGGATTAGTGCAGACGATTCCATTTTCGTAGAATATATGATTTATTGATTAGAATAGTCTAGAGGATTGTGTGTACGTACTAGGAGGCTAGGGTGAGGCACGTGCGAAACAGAGTCACGTGTCTCAGTAATCTTTGCAAAGCACCCTTTTCGGGAAGGTTCCTCATTCCTATCCTAGTGTTTCTTTCTTCTAATTATAAATAAATTATTATTTTTTTATTTGGCATTTTAATATTAATTATTATTACGATTATCAACTACTATTTATTCTCAAGTCATATTTTAATTCTTTGGATCTCCATTTTACTTGGCAAGGAAAAGAAATAAAATAAAGATTGTGTTATCCAAACATAATTAGGATTAACTATCATAAATGTTTTCTTCAAATTTGGTCAAAAGTGATTAAAAGTTAATGGTAAGCTAAGCCGTTCATTATTGACCAATGACCAGCCAACAATTTGTCTTGATAAAAATAAATCACTCAAATAAAACATAAAGCAGTACTTTAGATTAAACATTCAACAGATACTTCTGATTACATAACATAAGGAATATAGGTACAACAAATCATCAAAGTCTAATTAAACAGAAATAACATTTATTTAAACAAACATTTACCAGCAACTCCTTACTCAACATCCTTAATCCCTTTCAAGAATTTAAGCACATGCAGCATTGTAGGCCTGTTCACCGGATTCTCGGACAAGCAAATGACAGCAATCTGCAACGTCTGAAGCATCAACTGCTTCGAATCGGCATCGAGCACAACAGGATCAAGAACATCCACAGCCAAACCATTCTTCACTTTCAAGAAAACCCACCCCACCAAATTACCACCTTCGATATCCTTAAAATCGGGCCCCGTCGGTTCCTTTCCGGTCAACAACTCCAAAAGTATCACACCGAAACTATACACATCCCCCCTCGTAGTCGATTTCCAGCTCTGACCATACTCTGGAGGAATGTACCCGAAAGTGCCAGCTAGATCGGTACTCACGTGAGTCTCGCACGCACTAATCAACCTCGCTAACCCGAAATCAGCCACCTTTGGTTCGAAATCTTGATTAAGAAGGATATTACTAGCTTTTATATCTCGGTGAATTATGTGTGGGATAAACCCGTGATGGAGAAAAGCTAGCCCACGTGCAGCACCGAGTGCAATCTTGAACCGTTTGGTCCAATCCAAGACGGCAAGAGTTCCGGTTCTGTTCCTCAGCCAATGGTCCAAACTCCCGTTTTCCATGTACTCGTAAACGAGCACTTTCTCCTCGCCGTAAGAACAATACCCAAGCAAAGAAACGAGGTTTCGATGTTTAACTTTGCCTAGGGTTTCCATTTCTGCTAGAAACTCGCGCTGGCCTTGAGCTTTGGCTTGGCTCAGCTTCTTTACTGCCACGATTTTTCCGTCGGGTAAAAGTGCTTTGTACACTGTACCGAAACCACCGTCTCCGATAATGTTCGATTTGCAGAAATTGTTTGTTGCCTCGAGTATGTCGACTACTGTCAGTTTGAGGAGTGGCTGCTCGAACATTGCAATGTTGATGCTAAGCGGCTCCTTCGATCTGCTGCTGCTCAAGAAGTAAAGATTCTGTTCGTCCGAGCTGTTCAATTTGCTGTCTGAAATATCTTCGGGGTCGTTTCTGCTGCTTCTATTTGACCAGATTTTCAGCACTATAATCACCGAAAGGGCTATTAAAACAATTCCTACAACAAGTGATGCCAGTCCCCATACATTTAGCAGAGACGATTTTCTTGCAAAGCTCTTCAAAGGGCATCTTATCCCCGTGATTCCGCCACATAGATTCTTGTTCCCCGTTAGAAAAGCTTCTGTCAGATTCTTGCAAATACCGGTTCTTGGAATGGGGCCCACCAGCTCGTTTTCGGCAAGATTCAAGAAAACGAGATTCGTCAAACCACAAACTTGATTGGGAATTTCTCCAATTAGCATATTCCCCGAGACATCAAGATACTCGAGCTGTGCGAGATTTCCGAGTTCAGTTGGTACTTCGCCCGTAAAACTGTTTCCATGGATATCCAAGACTGTCAGATATGACATATTGCCCAACGATCTTGGCAATTGCCCACTAAACGAGTTGCTGCTTAAATTCACAATTTCGACTCTCCAAAGTATGGAATCTTTGAATAGCTCAGTTATATGACCTGAAAGATTGTTATGCTGCGCGTAAAACCCGACAAGATGCACCATTCCGGACATGGCTAGAGGAAGCTCGTCGCTCAGCAAGTTGGAGCTCAAGTCCAAATGAGTAAGCCCGTTCAACTTGCCGAAACTAGGTGGAATTGAACCGGTTAACATATTAGACGATAAATTAAGCTTCACCAATCCAATCAATGCACCGATGCTATCTGGGATTGTACCTGTGAGCAGATTATTCCCAAGGTACAACCCCTGCAGCTTCACCGAACCGCCAAATTCACGAGGTATATAACCATTAAGTAAGTTTTCAGACAAATCCAAAGTCGTGAGATTGGATAAGCGCGATAAAGAACTAGGGATCGCCCCGGAGAGCATATTGTTGTTGAGAAGAAGATCCACCAAAACAACACAGTTCCCAAGTTCTTGAGGAATCGAACCGCTCAATCTGTTGTGCGAAAGATCGTAGATTCCATGATGCTGAACATAGCTCGAATCGGGAATAACCGAAACCTGCTGAAAATACTTGGGACTTTTGGGAGGAATATTCCCAGACAGATTGTTATACGAAAGAACAAGGCATTGCAACTGAGGCAAATCGGCTAACTCTTCTGGAATGGAACCGTTGAGGTTGTTCTTCGCCAAATCCAACGTTGCAAGGGCGGTGCAGTTCCCAATCTCAATTGGAATATTCCCTTCGAGAAAATTGGAGTTCAAATTCAGCACAGAGAGAAATTGAAGTTTCCCAATCTCTGCAGGAATTGTACCGGTTATCCGATTGTTTGGAAGAACAATGCTCTCCAACGATGCAGCATTCCCGATCTCCTTCGGAAGAGAACCCTCCAACTGATTATTTGCAGCGGAAAACTCGATCAGATTCGGTGAACTCCAAATACTCACCGGGATTGAACCGGTGAAATTATTCGAATCCAACTCGAGAGCTATCAAAGGGAGCTCTGATAAATAACCAGGAACAGAACCGACAAGCTTATTATCGAGCAGCACCAACTGAGTCAGATTTCCACACTTCACGAAAGTTTCTTCGATACTCCCGGTGAGAAAATTATGGTCGAGCTCAATCTCCGTAAGAGAAACTGCGTTGCACAGCTCTTTAGGAATCTCCCCTGTAAGCAAGTTACTGCCGAAGCTAATGTGACTCAGCATCGAACAGTTTCCAATCTCTGGCGGAATTTTGCCCGAAAATCGATTGTTGGAAAGCAATATCGAATCAACCATTGTCCATTTACCAAGCCAAGAAGGCAATGGGCCCGATAGCAGATTCTTTTCGGCCGAAAATGTCATTAAGGACAAATCGGATAGCTCAGCGGGCAACATTCCGGTAAGAGAGTTGAACGAAAGCAGCAACACTTTTAAGTTTCTGCATTTTCCAATCTCTGACGGAATGCTGCCGTTAAGCTCAGCGTAAACAAGGTTTAATACGGTCAAATTTTGCAAATCTCCGATGATTTTAGGGATGGAACACTGTAAAGGGTTCGACGAAAGATCGAGCTTGCTCAAAGATGTCAGCTTTGAGAATGTCTGAGGTAAAGGGCCGTTGAACGAACAAGAAGGGGAGGATAAAATTTCAAGATTAGACAACCGGCCAATCTCCGGCGGGAAAACGCCGGAGAAATGGTTGTCGCCGAGGAAAATCTCTGTGAGGGAGGATAGGTTTCCGATTTCGGGAGGAATATTTCCAGAGAGAGAATTATTCGAAACGTCGAATGAAGACAAGGAGTGAAGATTTGGAAAGAGGTTAGAAGGCAAAGTGCCCGTCAGAAAATTATTTCCAAGAGCCAAAATCCGAAGGTGGGTCATGTTTCCGATCTGAGGTGGAATATTTCCGGCGAGGGAATTACCGGAAAGGTCGAGAGATTCGAGGCTTACCAAGTTTCCGATTTCAGCAGGGATTTTTCCGGTGAAGAAGTTAGGCCCGAGTCTGAGATTCTGCAGACGAGTCAGGTCACCAAGTTGGCTCGGTAACTCGCCGCAGAGGTGATTGTAACCCAAGTCCAACACTTTCAGCCGGTTGAGCGAACCAATGCCCGCCGGAATGTCGCCGTCAAACTTATTGGACGAAAGATCCAGCACAATGAGGGTGGTGAGAGAGAACAGAGAAGCGGGAAGGGGACCCCTCAGTTGGTCAGTGAGTGTGTGAGTCGACAGAACGAGTGAGGTGACTCGGTCTTCTTCGCAGTACACTCCGGTCCAGTTGCAGTGAGAGAGTGAAGGGTTCCATGAAACCAGAATTTCAGGGTTTTCGAGAGACTTCTTAAACAACAGCAAAATCTCTGCATCAGGGCTTCCATCAAATTTCTTCTGCAACGAAACGGCATTGTTTGTTGCGAAGAAAAAACTCAACTCGAACAGGATCAAAATGCAAAGCAACTGCTTAAACGCCATTATTTGAAAACTCTGAAGAAAAAAAATCAAATCTTGGCAAGGGTTTCACACATTGTGGCGCATTTAAGCAGAGATTATGGAGAGAGAGAGAGAGAGAATTCGGAAGTGTTTCCTTGAAAATCGAAAGGGATGTCTAGAGAGAGAAAGAGAGGAGAGAGAAAGGGGAGGAGGAGTACAGTTTGTTGGGAACATGAAGAGGGCGTTGATGGTACACACCTCCAAATTAAAAGTTTTAATTTTTTTTGGTTTTTTTTTTTATTGGAGAAATTATTTTTTTGTCTTGGTGAGGTGGCATGCAGGGGGGCGAGTTTGAAGGTGGGAGAGACGGCGTCGTTTGATATCTAGGGTGGGGGGTGGGGGGGGACCGCCCCCCTAATTGTAAAGTACTAGTTTCAAAAGAATACGAAAAGGGTTTGGAGTTTGTCTGACACTCACCATCAGCTTGTCAGTCTTTCCCAGTTTTTTTTTATTCATTGATATCGATTCTTTGGCAGAACCATATCTTGTGTTTTGACCATTATGCCCCTGGGAATAATTCAAAAGTCTTTCTTAAATAAGATATAGATTATGTAAAATTATAATGTTGGAAATTAATTGAATAAATGCATTTCACTCCCAAACTAAATGAAACTAATTATACTATTGTGCAGTGGTTGTGGCAAGAACATGCGATTTTAGAAGAAAAGTCAACGAAACTCAAACCACGTACATTTTGTGTGAATTTGATATGAATAAACTTATCATTTCACGTGACTTTTACTTTCTTCAATACAATCCATGTTGAACAACGCTAACATGCTTCGGTTGCTTGATTTGTAACTTCTACAATTCTTGGAAAATTAGAAATGGAATTTTTTTAAAAGGGAAGAAATTTATGATACTTACGACAGAGATAGAAATATAATGAAATAGATTTACACCAATTAAATTCGTGTGGTTTGACTTCCTTTGAATTTTCTTTTGTGAAAATGACAAGTTTTTAACTATCGGGCACTAAAATAATTAGTTTACTGAAAGTATGTGCGAAAATAAATATGTAGAGAAAATATGAAAAACGGCATATAGTTTAGAGGGCATATATCATTTTCACCTCAAATATATTTTATTTTGTTTATAAATTAAAAATTAAAAGAAAAATAGAAAATGGAAATGGAAGGGTAGTATCGTCATTGTGAAAGTGTGGGGGAGTGGCTTGTAAATAGGGAAAAAGATTCTTGATGGGACTAGAGAGTAAATATGAATATAGTAATTGGTGGTGGGCCTGAAAAGAGCCCCAGATTTCAGCTGTCTCTCAACAGGAAACAGACAAATAACCTCTGTTTTCTTTCTTCTTCCCCTTTCCTAATACGGAATTATTATATTTTCCCCTTCTTAATCTTGTTTAACTTAGCTTTAATCATCCTTAAACAAACAAAACACCTGCCCTTGCAAAAAAGATTACTGCACATGTTAATCCTGCAAATAACGTGTCTAATTAAATTCCTTATATATATATAGTACGAAACTTAATCATTAGTTTGACCAGATGAGTCAATAGAGAGATAAGTTTCTGATCAGACCAAATAAGCAATTACTATAAAATAATAAAATTGAAATATATTAATATCTACACTGTAATTGTTTTACAGTGCGGTAACAAAATGTAATTAATGGTGGAGCTGACCGCACAAACAGTAAATTAAATGGGACGAACTGTTTGTGTGCCAGAAAATTAATTATCTGTATCAAACATTTACTTGGTTTTATTATATATATTATATATAATTAAATAAATAAATAATAAATATTTAAAAAGGAAAACGTGCACGCATAAATTTTGGAAAAAAAGCAGAAGTGATAAAAAGTTGTATTAGGTGATAGTCATGAAATCAATGGCAAGTGGAAGAAGTGGGATAAAGAAAGTGAAATGACTATAGATAGTGTCTATATATATATATAATATTTATTGTGCATTAAATTGAATAAAGCAATTAAGTGGATGTTATCACTCACAAACTTGGCTCTGCATTTTTCATCATGGGGATTGAAGTTGGACTAACAATTTGGGTTTTGATTGGTTATACTTTTTTTTTTTTTTTAATTTAAATATTTCTCTAATAAATTAATTGAGATGTTGGACCGGTGCTTATGTATTAAAAATTAATAAATACTAATTACGATGATTATTGATTACGGATCGTCTGATTATTAATGGACTAAGGCTTTTCCTTGTTGGGCTTTATTTTTGGATAAAATTCGGCCGGCTAAATGGTTTGACATGGGCCACATGCCATTTAAGGAGAGTAATTGGCAATTACCTTATAAAGAAAATTATTTAATAGAAACCCCCTAAACTTAGACTAAATTATAAAGAACACCCAAATTTATCCGTATTTGCCAAAATCATATGTTTGTTTTTGTCTTACATCGACCCTCTTAAGGTGAAATTTTTCAAGAGGGTCAGTGTAAGATTGAAATAAATATTGGGGGAAGTTTAATAATTACAGATATATGGGGTGTTTTTCGTAGTTTATCAAAGTTAAGGGGAGCTTTCATAATCTATCCTATTTATCAAGTAGAGAATCATGAATTTTGATATGTGTCAACATCTGGGAAGATGAAGGGTCAACATCTATTTTTATTTTGATACTAATTATGTATATCGGCGTTGAATTTTGACCAAATATATTTTATTTTTTTTTGTTTTATTTTTTAATTTTTTTTTTACAATTAAATTGTTTCTTCGAAAATAGAAATATAAGATGAAAATCTTTTAAATGAGTTAGTTAGGACTGATTCATTTAAGCCTATACCTATATTTTTCCATCGTGATTCAAACTGACTTGACCGTCAGAATGTCAGAATGCTAACGTTTTGGATTTTCTTAACTCGAAACCCATTATATTCCTTAATATTTGAGTGAGCCATTTAGCTACAAAACATTTAGACACTAAGTGTTAGCATAATTAATATGTGCACATGGTAATATAATGGACATTTAGATGATTTGAAATCTTTGATTATTATAACCACCTATTTTTTTTTTTTTCTTACAACCAACTCTCTTAATGAATAATGACTACTTATTTATTAATCATTTATTTTCTTTGCTTTTTGGTTAATTACACCACAACTACTTACTTCGATCTACATCTTCACATAACTTGTTGTAATAGAAGTATTCTTTTTTTCTTACAAGTCATATTCGGCTGTCAAAAAATTGAAATAGACCATCCCAAATTGACTGAAAAAAGGACGGTTCTCAACGTGTCGGCTGCCCATAGGGTAGAATAATACAAGTGGAATTTAGGAATATGAGAATCACAATATTCAAATATTTTTTTTAGTTATTTTTTGTCTTTTAATCATCGGACGTGTCAATTTACTAGACGCCAATCCCGATACATATTGAATTAAATTAAAATATATAAATATATATTTCAACAAATTATAATTAAACCCCACTTCATAAATAATTTAGCCGTTCAAAACTTTTTATAAGAGTATCGTCCCCCACTTGTTCTCAAACTATTGGTAAACAACACAAGAGCCCTTAAAAGTGTTTGTCACATAATTAGATTCTAATAAAAAAAATATTCGCTGTATTTTTTTTAATTACTTCAATATTAAAGGCATGCAACAACTTTTTATTGAACGGATACTATTTCCTAAAAAGAAAAAGAAGAAAAAGAAGAAGAAAAAAAAATATCGTTTCTCATCTCAGCCTTCAAAACATCGAATATAATTAAATCAATATTTATTATAGTTATAAGTGTCATTAGTTGAAATTTATTATTTTAGTAATCAACTTAACCTCGCTACCTAAATCTTATAATTTTTTAATGGCATGTAGATTATATTAGTAATATTGTACAAAAAATTTGAAAAGATCGAAGAAAAAAATGTCGCATTTGGACGAAATCACCCTAATATATATCTTATCCTCTCCTTTTGGAATTCGTAATTTATATGATCATCATATAGATCAAAATAATTATTTCACCTGACAAGATCAAGATTTATATTACAGTTTTCAAGGAATGCAATGTGTGTGTGAACTAATCCACCCCTTGTGTCGACATGGTGTATATCACGTAGTTTAAATGGCTCAATTGAATAAATAATGGATCGGGATCAAAGAAAACCTAAACGAGAAGTCCATGTGTTCCTAGAAGACCTGCAAAAAGGGGTGTTGGGAAGGATTTTCCCGACGGTCAGAACTCCCAGTTAAGTCGGTCAGAATCATTGAGGAATAATACATAAGTGTAGTGAAAATAAGTACGTAATTCAGATCTCAAGACTGTATTTATATATACATATCATAGGGATGTGTGATGGCCCCCCATACTCTATCTATGGTCAGATCACACGTGTGAGTGATGTGATTACTTCAAGTTGTGCTCGACTGTTGAGGACGAGCCGCCTTGTTTCTTGCGAGTGGAGACTAATTCAACGGGATAGGCCGGGCCCGCAGGTGTGATCGCTTCTATTTGAACCGTAAGTCGAGTTGGATAAAGTTTTTTATATACAAACGACAAATAGAGAAGATATATAGTGAAACACAAATTAAAGGGTCCAATCCATCGCACATCGATCAACTTTAGCATAAACTATATGATTGGGAAACCACATGGCATGGGTCTACTAATTAAATTAATTAATTGTGATCAAATAAATCAACGAATTTTCCACAAATTGTATTTCATACCATTTCGGGTAAAGCATATATACACACCTTTTGATCGAATTTGGTTATAAGAATTAATTAGATATGTATATATAATAATTTAATTAATTATAATTGTCATGTGTATTGTATTCAGAGAAGCACCTCAAAAGTCGAATTCCAATTCGCTGAAGATATTATATTAAAGTGGGAAAAAATATATTCTAATTCTCATCCAGCCAATCACCCATTGACATCGTGTGTATATTTTAATAGGAATTGCATGGGAATTGCCAAACTAGTAGAGGATGGTCAACAAAAGTGCTTCAAACTAATACATATTAATTAGGTGACAATTATTTTTTTATTTTTTTATTGTTACGTGAAATTGTGTCAAATTACTAATTATCAAGTAATATTTGCTCACTTGGGACTAAAATTAATATTTCCCGGAGCTTAAACTTTTATTTATTTATTAATTATTAGTATTATTATAATTATAAAAAAAGAGTTAAATCTGGAATTAGTTAAACTTGAAGAAATATTCATCGGCCTCCATCTCTTGGAAAAATCAGTGGGATTCGCATTCTATCTTGATGGGGACACCTTCCTTGCAAATTTCTTTCAGACTTGGTTTTCATTTTATTTTTATATATATACCATGCAGCTAAGCTAAAAGACAAATCATTTATTTATTTATTTATTATTATTGTTACATATATACTTAACTATCATGAAATTATTTTATTGTTTTAACAAAATATAGAATTCGTTTCAACTCGACTCGATCAAATAAACGATAACAAAAATACATGTAAAAAGATCAAATTACTGGAGCTCGACTTACAAAATTTTCAACATCGGCGATAAAGAAGAAGAAAAAAATATATTAAACTTGCATCATTCTCCAAGAATCTTTAGATAGTATACTTGTAATCCAAAGCACACCTTTCTTTATTAGTTCCTCCCTCTATAAAAGCCTTGACAGAATTCTTCAATCAATATCATTATATATATATTCTTCCTATAATAAACAAGAGTATTAATTCTTTAAATTCATTAAATTAATTTTCTTGTCCAAATTAATTTAATAAATAAATATGTCGAGGTTGGTCGAGCCACTGTCTGTAGGGAGAGTAATAGGAGAAGTTGTAGACAGTTTCACACCTTGTGTTAAGTTGAACATAACCTACAGTTATGGCAACAAGCAAGTCTCTAATGGCCACGAGCTCATGCCAGCTGTCCTTACCTCCAAACCCCGTGTCGAGATTGGCGGCGAAGACTTACGTGCTGCTTATACTCTTGTATGCATGCCTATATACATATGTGCGTGTGTGTGTTTCAGTGTGTGTTTTCTGACAATATTTCATGTGTTTGAATTAGGTTATGACTGATCCAGATGTTCCAGGCCCTAGTGATCCATACTTAAGGGAGCATCTACACTGGTTTGTTGAATTAATTACTCTAACTAATAAGTAATAAAAATATACTAATTTAATTCTATTTTTCATTAATGATTTTTTTTTTTTTCAGGATAGTTACAGATATTCCAGGTACCACTGATGCATCTTTCGGTAAGTAGTCATTTTCACATTTGTGGTATAGTAATTAATTAATTGATAATTAATTAAATATAAAGCTGAAAAGAAAACCTTTAAATGCATGCACTAACCAGGGAGAGAGATTGTGAGCTACGAAACACCGAAACCGGTGATCGGAATCCACCGCTACGTGTTCGTTTTATTCAAGCAGAGAGGAAGGCATACCGTGAATCCACCTTCCTCAAGAAACCATTTCAATACTCGCACTTTTGCTGAAGACAACGGGTTAGGGCCACCCGTCGCCGCGGTCTACTTCAACGCACAACGTGAAACCGCCTGTCGAAGAAGATAACCTAAAAAATGAAAATAAAGAAATTACAATATATTAATCATGGATTAATAATTTAATTATAGTTCTGTCTGTTCTCTGAACAGTACAGTTCTACTAGGTTTTGGGGGAAACTGCAGTGGTCCCCCCACAACCTTTTTCTTTTTTTGTTTTGTTTAAGGTTCTGTTTTTTGTATTATGAGTTAAGTGTGTTTTAATCTGCTTGTTGTGTGTACTGGGAATTTGTCTTGTGGTCCCCCCCTGATAATCCTGTCTTATAATAATGATAGTGACTCTAATTACTGTCAGTTTAACCTTAATCAAATGTCTTATAATTAATCAAATCACTTTCATGAAGAAATGAAAAAAATACAGATTTTTTTACAAGCTCCTTCACATATATATCTAAAAGCAACCATGAAAATATACATCATATAATTCAAGAAACTATCAACAAGCTGCAAACATACATATATATAGTAGTTATTTGAGTGGACGAGAAACCGAATTGCAAGAAAGCAAACCCACCTTCCGAATATACTCGTGTATGCTATGTAACCGCAAGCCCTACTTTTTTTTAAAACTAATTCGACATTTTTTTTACTAAAGAATCATCGCTTCATGCATTAATCTCAGCGTTGCACTGATTCTCTCTGCTGCAGCTTCTTCTTCCCCAAAACATATTCGAGCATGTTGTTTTCTCCAATCTCACCCCTTCGATCTTCCCCTGTTCGCCAGCTGCCGTGGATTGCGGACGATCGGGAGAATCTTGGTGGGCCCCACTTTCACCCGAATCGAAATTAGGGCAGGGACCTTCGGTGCAGGTGCATAACGGGAGTGAAACGGAAGGAAACGGGCTGCAAGTGACTGGGCAGAAAATGTCTGATGAAATAGAATCCACTGTGCGTTTCTTTCGTGTAATAGTATTGTCGGGTGATGAGGTGGCAGTTTCGAATGTGTCTTGTTCTCTGTGGTGAAGCATGCATGGTGTGCATAGGCTGAGCGATAGAGGTAACTTAATTTCCTTTGTTGAAGAACCGGGCAGTTTGAGAAAACACACGATCCCGTGCCGACAGAGAGGGCATGGGATTGTGCCAGGTGGCGTTGATGACTCAGATGGAATATTGCTGGTCGAGCAAAGGTACAGAGCGCATCTCACACAGAGTTCGTGCCCACATCCTGAAATTTCACATCAGCATAAATATTTATTGAAAAAAATCCGAAATAATAATAATAAATAAATAATCGGAAAACAGGAAAATATTAGTTCAGGTGACAAAAGTAACCTTGAGAAGCTACAGTACAAGCTCTCTCCAAGCAAACAGCACAAATATCAGCATCATCAGAAGCACTAGCTGGGAATTGCAGCCCGCAGTCTCTGACGGAACGGAAAAAATCATATTATTTAATTGGATAAATGAATAAATAAATAAATAAAACAATGATAATAATTCCATCAAATAAGATCTTACCTTGCTATATTTAGCACACTCATGAGAGGCAGGGATAAATAATTAGAAGGTGGAAAAATCGGAATCGGCAAATCGGAATTAGGTTGAAGCAGGGGCTCAAGCCAATGACGGCCCCACATCCTTGCTACATCAAGTGGAAGCCATCTGAAAACAGCACACAAAATTCATTACATTGTTTCGAATGTACACACAACAATCTCTTTAAAAAGAATTAATAATTACCCGTTGCAGTTTAAAGATAAACGACTAGCACCTCTTGCAAGAAGGATCTGTAAATGCAGAAATTCATAGTTATATATTATACGAAGTGATTTAAAAGTAAATAAACGTGAATTAGTCGTTACCTGGCAGCACTTTAGATTTCCTCCACAAGCAGCGTAATGCAGAGGAGTGCTTCCAGCTCCTATAAGAAAAATGTATGTATGTAAGAAAAGAGGTTTCACTGAAGAGATATTATCGAGATTTTTTAGAGAATAATAGTTTATTTACCTATCAAATCCATTGATGTTCCGTAATGGAATGTGACAGATAATACATTTGCGTGAAGATCGAGTAGGAGCTGTACGCAGTCAAAGTATCCGTTCAGGGCAGCCATATGAAGAGCGGTGATACCATTATCAGCCGCCTTGTTCACGAACTTGGACAGGGCACTGAGGCGGTACAAGGACAATGTTTCATAAGTAAGAACTAAAGGTTTATTTCGAAAAGTTTGTCTTTTTGGTCTCGTTGAATGTATAAGAAAATTAAAACATACCCTAATGGAAAATATATTTAAGATATAGAAGAAAGAAGCAAACTGAGATAAATCCTCGTGGTTGACAAGCAACGAGAAAGCCAAAAACATAATCTTGAAAAGCCACAAACAAACCTCTGTTCAAACTTGCTTTTGGTATTAGGAGCATCGTTTGTGTCACTAGTTTGAGCATTCAGAGAACCGTATGGAGCACTCGGAACAAAATCAGCAACAACTAATCTCATACATCTCACGTGTCCATTGACAGCTGCAAAATGGAGAGCGGTTCTCCCACTAAGATAATCCGCTCTAATAACCTGAACGACAGAACGGACGAGACTCTCATAAGGTAATTTGACAATCGGATAATAAGTACAGAAATCTAATCATCCGACGAAAAGGAGAAAAAGACATTTGAAGTGAAACATTAAAAAAAAAAAAAAAAAAAAAAAACTCACGTTGCATCTAAAAAGAAGAAGTGTTTGAACAACTTCCCAGTGCCCGTATCGACACGCTTGCATTAACGCTGTCTGCAGAAGCAACAACACAACATTTAAAGACTCTGATCTAAGAAAGATCCAGTGATGATCTGTTCATCAAGGGAGAAAGAAAAAAAAAAGAATTCCCAATTATACTTATCTTAATCTAATTAAACCAATCAAATCCAAATTAGGGTTGATCTCAAAATCAGAGAAGCAGAAAAGGGGAAGTTTCTGTACCTGCCCACAATAATTTCTCGAATTCACATCAGCTCCATTCTCCAGCAACAATGCCACAATCTAAAAAATCAAAATTCCCACAAATCACAAAATTTGGACACAAAAAAAAAAAAATTAATAATAATAATAAAAAAAGGGGGTTTAATTAGCTGACCTCATTGTGGCCTTTAGCAGCAGCAAAATGAAGAGGAGAGTTCAATCCGCCAAAGGTAGAGTACTTTGCAAGGCATGGATTGCAATTCAAAAGCATTTTGGCTTCAACAAAATCACCATCTCTTGCAGCTGATACCAATCTCTCACCTGAGGCAGAGCACCCAAATGAATTGCCCATTTTCTTCTCTCTCTCTCTAATTAAAAATATATATTTTTTTTTCTCTCTCTAAATCTGCGGATAGATTATGTGTGCGTTTGTGGGTTTATAATTTATTGATGTCAGAGACTGAGAAATTGGGGGAGTTTTTCTTCATATGTAAAGAAAGATGATTAGGTCAACTGTCGTTAAACAAATTTCCCCTAAATATTAAAAAAAAAAGTTAAAAAAACAAAAGGAAAAAAACAAGATGAACCCTAATTTAACTGGAAAGGGGAAATATTTTCTCGATTATATCGAGAACCTCAACTGCTTTCTGGAGTTCATAAATGGGGATAGTGTGTGTGTGTGTTTGATTTCCCGAAAATAAAACTAATTTTCTGGTTTTAAATTGGGGAAATAATATTAAAAATCACCTCACAAAATACTTTTTTGAAATATTTTAATTTATTTTATTTGAGCACATATTATTTACACTAATACTATATTTAAGGTAATTTACGTGACTAAATGTAACTGTTTAGAGTTTGAATAATTAATGGAATCCACATGCTTGTTAACAAAATCACATGCACCGTCTTAATTATTCCTTCTTCCGTTTCATTAATTAATCGGATTAGGTTCACAATTTGTTTTTTTTATTATATATTTTTATGTTATAGTTATAATATTTAAGATTATCCGATTTTAATTTCATGTATGTAAGGCTGAATTTGGGTCCTGTAAATCTAGACGTTAATTTGGACTTTGTTGAATTTAAACTCATCAAAATATATTACAATACGATATAGCTTTTGGAAATACCAAGTAGTGAATCATTTAAAATAAACAAACCCATTGTTTTATAAATTAAAAAAAAAAATCTAAATATGGTACTATTTATTTTAATCATTTTTCTTTACCAAAAAAAATTAAAATTCGAAAGAAATTAAAGGGGACCAGAAATAAAAGAAAAAAAGAAAACATAGTCATAGTGTTAGATTAGTGGCATCGGACAAGACAAAGGAAGCATGGGACACTTTTTCTCAGTGGAACTGACTGCCTTAACTTCACTTTGAAAATTGCAATAATCTATCCTCCTTTTTTTTTTTTTTTTAAATATAGAATTTCAGTTTATATTATCCCAAATTCAAAATTTGAACAGCATTACTAAACTAGGCAGCAATTAATAGCAGTAAAATGTGGTTAATTATTAATGAAACAGTGTTTAAATAATTTTCAAAGAAGTGATGATGAATCTTTTGTTGTATGTAACAAGTATACAAATATTCTACGTAAAGAATTAGGTGAGAACAAGTGACTGAGGCAAATCTGTCTGCTGACAAAGATAAATTGGAAGGCTGCAAATAACATATCTTATATATTATATTGTATCAAAAATTAATTATTGAATCATAATTATGTTAATTTGAAAATAAAAATAAAACAATAAGAGAGTAGTAAAAAGAGGGGTCAAGTGGGGAGAAAGCAAAACAAAACACAAATCCTTGTTCCTACCAAACATGCGTGCTTCACTGCTTCTGGTCCTTGTCTTTTTCTTCTTCTTTTTTTTAATATATTTATATTTTTCAAATCATATAATATAAACAGATTTTTTCTTTTAGAAAAATAAAAAAAGATTGTGTTGGGGGGGCCCTTTTTTTTCTTTTCTTTTTTTTGGGCAGAATAATTCCACTTTTTGCTTACACGCAAGAGCCAAGAATCACTTGAAATATTATTGGAGAAATATATCTGGGAGGGGCATGATTTTTAGATGGTTCAGATATTTCGGTCAAAATATCAATTAAGAAATAAATAATTTTTGAATTTATTTCCTTTACTTAAAGACGAAATTATCACATCACCATATATTTAAATACAATAATTCAATCGAATAAAAATATCTTCAATTATATATCTGGCTATACAAATAGAGAGGTGGTGGGCATTCCTGAACATGAATTAGACCATCAACTTATTCTTTTATGTCTCAATCTTATGATTTCATTTCAAAGAGACAAAAGTGTATGTATACATTTTTTGTACCTAAATTTCTGATTCAAGAATTCTTAATCCTAAATTTCATTTGTTAAATAACCAAACCAAGCTACAATTTTCTTGCACACACAATCTTGATATCCCTAAAAAAATGATTTATGAACCCAAGATTAATTTATCTTCAATTAATTAAAGAAACCCCTCATAAATCTTCTTACCTTTCTATCTTCAACTTCTAGATGATTTCCTCATCAATCAGCAAATATAAACACCGATCGAAATAATTTCCGTAACACCCCAATTTTCTATTATCATTGTCCGAATATCGCCCTCGTGCAATCCCGACAATGCATTGCATGGTTTCTTCCCTTTTGGTAGGATGGCATAAAAATGCATTCTTGATTTGTTAAAGCCCTGTTTCGCGCCACCTCCTTTTCTCTATAATCTCGAGTAAACTTCATTACTCTGAGGTGCAAGAAGATTCTCCCTCCACATCACTCCCATTACAACTGTCACCATCGTCCGAATAAGCAGAAGAATCACTATCCGATTCAACCTCTCGTTTACGATTACATTCCACCTCGAAATCATCCTCGATATATCCTCTTTCAACACTTCCCTTATCTTCCTCAAGCCCGTCTCTCCTATAATACGACAGCTCCTTATTCACTTTCGCTTTCCTCGGACTAACCAATGCCAACTCAGCGAGCTTTCTCCTAGCCAGATACAGCTCGTTCGGCTCAACCAAATCCCCCTTCCTATACGCCTCCCTCAAAAAAACCGTGTGCAACTTTCCATGATTACCCCTAGTCGATATATAGAATATTCCCTGATGCTGTAACAAGAACTCCTTCAATTTTTTAGGCAAATCCATCGCCATTCTAAAATGCGCGATTCTTTCCAGTGTCATCTTTTTTTCAACGGTTAAAGACAAGAGCTCGTGGATCATTGCAACGGCCCGTTTTTCCATTCTCTTTTGCGCCTCGAGCGACCTTAAATCGTACCCGGAAACATCCTCGTACGGCGACCAGTAGGGCAGCCTCTGCCACTTCCAAACTGCAATCTTGTAGTACTTTCCGATCTTGAAACCGGGCGGAAAATTCACAATGAACGAAAAACGAATGTCCTCTGCGTCAATGCCCTTCTCCCTGTACTCGATTTCCCTCATTCTCTCAATTGCAGAGACACCTAATAAACTCTTGTCCTTCTCCTTCTCCACAGCTTCGATATACTTATTTCTAGTCTCGTCGGCGTCGAATAATCGGAAAAATTGGGGGTGTTTCAGGATTACAGAGTACTCGAAATCATCGGGCAGGCCGAACGCTTTCCGGGCAATTCGGATGTGTTCTAATCTGACCCGACCCGTTTTGGACAGGAGCAGCAGTTTCCTAATCCGGGTCACGGCGTCGGGTATTTGCCGCAGAAGGGCTTCGTTCTCTTGCTCGATTTGAGAAGCTGCCTTTCGGGAGAGGCGGCAGTAGAGGATCCGCTGGACCGGATGCTCGAACACCTCGAAGACGTGGGGGAATTTGAGTATGAACCGACCCGATTCGAATTGCTTGAACCCGATACGGCGTGAGATGGAGTCGAGGCGCGAGACGGAGATCATGTTGTTGGTCTGAGAGAGGATGAGCTCTTGGAATTGGAGGATTTTGCGGACTTTTTTGTCGACTTCCATGAAATCGTCGTAGCCGTGGTCGCGAACACGGGTTTGCTTTTTGGGGATCGATGTCGATTGAGACATGGATCGGGTCAGGGTCCTGGAGCTGAATAGCTTCGCCGTGTACCAGAGGAAAGACCGCATTTTTTTTTTCCGGCGGTTTTAGGGTTTTAGGGGTTTTTGATTTTGGTGCTGGGTGGTGGATTAACAGGGAAGATGGAGGGGGCTAGCGGAAATTAGAGATAAATGTGGGGGGATAGTGAAATTTCAGAGAGTTGTGTGGGTTGTAATGTAATTCTTCGGTATCAGTAACTGGACTTGAGAGAATATTATTGGGCTGGGAGCATATTCGTTGGGTCACGGCCCACTTGAGAATGAAATTACATCTTGATCCATGTTAAATATATTTGTTTTTGAATTTAATAAATAGCTTTTATTTTGAAAAGAAAAATTGAAATATACATGATTATCATTTATCACACAAATTAAAATGACCCAGCAATAAATTAAATTGAAAATTGATTAATAAAATGTACTCCTCATTTTATAAGATACCAAGAAATCTATTGAATTTTGGGCACCCAAAAATACAAAAGCTCAAGTGATCGGTCAAACTCTGATCTTGACCGTCGATCGGTCGATTCTCCATGCTTTGATCCTCACCTCAAAACCGAAAAAACAACATAACAGCACACTAGTAACTGAATTATGACAAAAGAATATAGATCCATCGAAACAAAACCAACTAACATTAAGCCAAAAGAGTAGTAAATGGTTTTTCAAGAAACAACAAAAGTAACTATGAAAATAGACAAAACAAAGCTTAGGTCAATTTGAGTCAATACCCGAACCACAACCCGTTTCACAAAATAAAAAAACCATTTTGCTTTCGAGGGTTTTACTTTTCTTTCCTTGTGGTGCCAAAAAGGTTCGTTCTTGACTCGAATCCCTCACCAAAAAAAAAATCCCATCTTTAACTTTCTCTATCAACTTTCATTCACAGACAAAAAAAACAAAAACATATGTATTATCACACTGTTTCAATTGTTTCACTGAAGCCCGTTTTTGATCCCCTGAAGCGTACGAGCAATCAACGACTTCACTGTTTCCACCGACTCGATTGTTAGCTGTGCAGCCGGCGTATTGCTCACCAACATTTGAAACACTACTGTCAGCAGCGATTGGCCGCCGCCTCCTCCTCCAAGGCGGCCTTCGTGGGCCTCACCAGAATCCGGGAAACAATCCGGTGCAATCGCGAACCCCGAAGGCAGTATAGCCACACCGGACGGATCACCGCCACCAACCACCGCATTCATGTATGCTGCTTCCACCCCCGCGTGGACAATCATCGATCCAGATTCATCTGAACAAGTTTCTTGCAAGATCAACATGCCATTGCCAGCTGGCATCTGCAAATCGAAATCCCAAAAAATCAAGAATTGAAAAAAAAAAAATAAGACAGGGAGGAACTAAAAAGGAAATTCAAGAAAACTAACGGTGGTCGAACGAAGAAGAGAGATGGTGTTCCCGAAATCTTGGCTCTTGGGAATATGGAGCATGGGCTGCATGGGCCCATCTCGAGACAATCCATCCCAGTGGGCCCTATTATTTACGTTCTGCAAGAATTCGAGGAGATGATGTGGCGAAACGGGCATCCAGACAGTTGTTGTGGCGCTCAGGATAATGCCAGATGGCTCCCCCGAATTGCCCATGCTCTTGCGCACCATTATCCTCATGTTTTCGGAACTCTGTACCACTTCCCATTTGTGCACGGTGGAGCAGATTACACTGCAGAAATTACGAGTCATGCGTTGTGCCAGTTTCACCATACTCTTCTTACTACTCGGAGGAAGCCCTGCAAAAAAAAAAATCACATATATATATAACTTAATAAGCATCTATTTGGAGTGACCAAAGTGAAATATATATATATATATATATATATGTGTGTGTGTGTGTGTGTGTGTGAAATATATATACCGGAATTATCTGATGCGGAGGACATCATCACAGAAAAAAGTTCACATTGCTTTCGTAAATCAGCAACCCATTTTTGGGCACCGAATGCAGTTCCGGATCTGAGTATTGGCTGGTATAATTGATGTATGTTGCTCTCGTCGTATTCCGTGTGCTCTACCCAAGTCACCTGATAATATTATTACATTCTAAAGTTAGATTTAAGAAAACAAAACGGGCGAAAGTAAAAAAAAAAAAGAAAAAAAACAAATCAAATCTTGTTAACATGTCTCGAATTGTATACCTTTGAGCAGCCATTAGGCATATCTTGCACAATGCAACCAGAAGGCAGCCTCCTGCAATTCACGGGCAACTGAAACAGAGTATCGACTGACACATCAACCACGGCCCACGTGTCCTCTTTGTGCTGTTTGCAGAACCGAACGAACTTCACTTGTCTCGGCGCAACCAAAGGCGATAGAATTTGGAACTCAGCTTGCATCTGCCAAATAAAAAAGTTTTTTACAGACATGACTCAAGTAATTTTCTTTTTATTTTTCTTTCCGTTTTAGTTTAGTTGTGGGGTGAGAAAATACAATAATGCCGTACCAATTGCAGTGCACCGTTTCTACTTCCAGACATTCCAGGAGAAATCACATCAACAATCGAGGCTCTCCCGATATTCCACGGGAACATCTCAGTCCATTGATTCTGCACATTCCAAAATCGGATTAACCGAATTAAGACAGTGAATAAATTAATTACAACACGGGCTATATGAAATTTCAAGAAATTTACCACATCCATCAGTGTTTCGATTAGTTCGGTGCTGTTGATCATTACGTTTTCACTAGCTCTCGTTGCTTCAGTTACGAAATGAGCTGGTTTTACGCCTATGCAAGGAGGAAACGTCTTTGCATACTCTTCAAGATTTAAAGACTCTCGATTTCCGTCCAAGTTTCTAACCCAAAGGGGACTATCAACTTGCGCTAGCTTTATCAACTCATCCGTTGCAGCCAATGCAAGCTCGAGAAAAACGGATTTATCGAAAGGAGCGTCAACACTCATTTGTGGTGGCATAACGGGAAAAGAATTAGAAACCCTATCGCCAAAAAAGTCGAGCCCTAAAGAAGGTATCATTGTCGATGGATTATCCATGGAGTTGAAACCGGAGAACTCGTTTCTGCCCACCGCAAGTTCCAAAGTCGAACCATTGTTGGACCTGGTCAAGAATTTGCTTGCTAGTATGCCGAGTCGACTCAGTTCTTCTTTGAGTCGGGCATTCTCGATCATGAGATGGTGGTGCTCGATGGGCACTTCTCCAAGAATCGCTTGGCTGCCGCAGGTTTCGCATGTTGGATTCCTCATAGCTTCTTTCATGGTTATGTTCTCGATGCGGAGCTTTTCGTTTTCTTGTTTTAGAATCGAATTCTCGTGCCTCTCTAATTGCGTCTTAATCATCATAATGACATTATAGAACCATTAATGTAAATTCCAACAAGCAATTAATAGCAACGAAAAGCGCGGGAAATAAATGTTTATACCTTCATTTGAGTTCGTCGATTTTGAAACCAGAATTTGACCTGTTTGCCCTCCAAGGCTAATCTTTTGCCTAGTTCCAATCGCGCTTTCTCATCCGGATGCGGGTTATCCTTGAAGGAGCTATAAAAGGTAACAAATTAAACACGAAAGCCGAAAACATATACGGGAAAGTACAATCATTAGGAGTTAGAAAAACATCCGTACGATTCGAGTTCTTGAATTTGGAAAGTGGTGTGTCTGTGGTATTTTTTCCTTTTCGACGACTTAGTTTCGGATGTGTTGTGATCATCGCCCGATCCGGCTTCGATGTTATCGCTACCGGACCTACTCTCCAGCTCGTAAGTTTCGCCTATCAACCCCATTTCCCTAATATTCTCCATTTTTGGCTGTTCACACAAATCACCACAACACATTATTATTTTTTACAATCACACTAAACAAAAACACAACTAATAATAATAATAATAAATTAATAATAATGACATACATAAAACATCTCAAAAGAGGGAAGAACACAAACAGAAGAAAAAAAAAAAGTCGATTCACACATACACGGGCAAGAGAAAAGGGTCGAGAGTGAGAGGATGAATGAAGCATTTGGAGTGGCTGAGACATATCGCCGCCGCCGCCTCCGGCGGCGGCGGCCGAAATGGGGTTGAACGAGGATAAACCCTCGGCGGCCGTCTTGCCGCCGCCACTACTACTGGGGCGTAAAAAGCCACTGCTGGTTTTACTAGTGAAACCCCCAAAGCTCATTTAAGGGAAGTGCAGACAGACAACAAAAAAAAATGGCTACTTTTTTTTTTGTTTTTTTTATTGTATGTATTTATCTTTGATACATACAAAATGGGGTTTTCTGCTACAGAAGATATAGAAGATTTACGAGGAAGAAGAACAAAGGAAGTAATAATAACACGCGCAAATGCCCAACTCCTCGCAGCAAAAAGCATTCACTTTTTGTAGTTCAAAATCACCCAAACAAACCGCAGAAAATTAAAAGAAGTTGGTAATAATATTATTGATTTATGACAACAACAACAAAAAAAAACAGCTTCCTCCAGGCCCCCCCCACCCCCCCTCTTCAAAAACCCTAGTTTCTTTGTAATAAAAAAGCCAAAAGAAAGATTTGGGTTTTGACTATTTTAGCGGCCGTCACCAAAAAGAAAAAGGAAGAGGGCTTTTGGGTTGTCAATTATCACACATTGAAAAACACACCATAAAAATCTAGACTTTTCAATACCTTTTCTTTCTGTCTATCTTTATTTTATTTTCAGGATATTATTTTTATTTTATTTTTGACTTTTTTTTTTCTTTCCAACGTTGTGGAAACCATGGAATGGGAAGTGTCTGGACAAAGACAAAAGAAAACACAATATAAAAATATATAACATACAAAAAAAAGACAGTTCTTTTATCTGAATTTGCTCAAACAGAATCTAAACACCAATGTCCAATGTCAGATAAATACAAATTCTCAGATTTGTAGACTTTCTTCTTCTCCATAACTTATTAATTTATGTGCAGAAATAAGAAATAAGAAATAAAAATAAATAAAAATTAAATCTTGGCAGGCTAAGAGCTGACTTACAGTGACTCCTCAAATGAATTGTTTTTTTCTTTTTCTTTTTTGTTTATGTTTTCAAGAAAGAGTCTTCTTTGAGCAACCAAACCCCCATTCGAAGGGGTGAGTGATGAATTAATATATTATTATTTTATTTTTTTTTTTATTTTTATTGGGAGAAATTAAAGAAGAGAGGAATGGAAGGGTGTTGAGATTGATTTTTTTTTATAGGTTAATTTAATTGTTTGAAACTCGGAATATGGCAATAAAAAGGGGAGGAAATAGTGCAGGAAATAAGAAAAACGGTAATTAGCAAATAAATTATGTATGGTAATTATTTTAAAACATAGGATTTTTTTTTAGGTGGGGCCCGCTATTACAAATCCGCGTGTGATGTGTTCGTTCCCCCACCCCCACGCTCGTGATCTGATGCGTGGATTTCACATTTATATAATGGGGATATAGTCACATAAATGAATATCTATTTATTTCATTTAAAACATGAATAATTTCACATTGTTTTACATTTAGCAATGAATCTAACCCACATAACAATCAACACTACAATTAAATTAGTGTTTTTTGTAAATATAAAAGCTAGTTTAAATGAAGTTTGAGCTCAATATATTATCTATATTTGATGGAATGTTCGATATATATTTTACATTTAACACGTTTACGATTATCTTTTCTCTTTTCCTTTTTCTTTTTAAAGAAACTTATTTTCAAGATTTTTGCACATGAGTTTTTGTGATCATCGTAGATATTAACTTAACAATTTGGGAATTGAAATTATGATAGAATCTAATACAATTCATTGTTCATCTGGCACACATTATTGTTCATATCTCTCGATATTTTTACCATTAAAGCCTATCTCACGATAATATTGGAAAGACAACTCATGTAAAAACAAAATAGTAAATAATTCAAAGTGAACACAAATTTTTGTGCCGCGAGTCCACAACATACGAGTAAAATGAGTTATTGATGCTCTTGTTAGTTTAGTTGGTGTAACGTTTAACGATCATAGTTCAATCTTTTCATTAATATATCTTAAGTCAAGCTCGACGCACATAACTGTTTCATTCGAATTTACACATCTCGCGTGATTTACGGAATATTATATAGAAGTGAGATTTATCCATTACACGTGTATAATTGCGAGTTACTTCACTTTAAAGAAAGAGTACAAAACATATTTAAATTATTGACTATATTCAAGCAATTTTATTTAATGAAGGCCCAATAAAACTTAATTATATATAAATTAACTAGATGGGCTTGGGCTTACATGAGTAGTCAAATTAACGAGCATATCTCAATATCCTATTCGACCCATTCCAGCTTTCTAATTGGGCCATTTGGGCTTTCTAATTGATTGATTAAACTAAAGAAAAGAAAGACTCTACTTTTTTCTATTTTAATTTAATTTAATTTAATGAACGATATAACCGGTGTTAATTCCGAAAATTTATTATTGTGCACAATAAGTTGAGCAACAAACTTTAGGTTATAGATTAGTGTAGCATAGTATTCAATTATGTATGTATAATCATCACAATAATGCACTCCTAAAAAAACAATACAACCATCATATATATTACTTAAATTACTAATATTAAAAAACACATTTCACTAATTTCCAACATGCTTATGAAATTCCCAAATCCGGAATAATTTTTTTAATTATTCATGATTACGAAAATTCTGAATTTCAATTTTTGGTTAATCCAATTTCTGTTGGATACAGATTCAGGGCACGTGCATCTTTATCCAAACTCAGTGATCTTATATCTACGGCTGTAACGATTCCATCTGTACCTGATAATAAACCCCCATCAAAATCGACACGTCAGCAAATATAAAATGATGCCAACGCATAGCTGTCTTCAACAGATATACACATATTTTGAGTGGGAATAAATATAATCAATCAAATAAATACTAATTTCTGAAAGCGCTATTACAACTGTAAAATTTGCTATTCGTCTGTATTCTAAATTTGTCTTTAATTTATTTTCTCCAGTACACGTGTCATAATATGAAAGGCATCGGAGTTCTAAAGTCCGTGGACCTGCGCACAGGCGATCAAAACCGCAGTTAGCTTCATAAACTACAATCAGCAACTAACCACTCCTCCCACCCTGTATTTGGTGCTACAATCCACGTTCTCCCACCCCATAAACCCCAATTAATAGGCCCCCCCACTTCACACGATTTCTGTGTTTACAGATAAATTCAACAATTTCCATTTCAGAAAACCCGTGTCTTAATTAAATAACTGAATTTGAGAAGCGGAGTGAGGAATAATCAGCTATGCCGGGGGAGGATATCGAAAGCAGGGCGGAGAAGAACAACCACACGGCGGCGGCGGCGGGAGGCCGGTACGCCGCTGATGACAGGGATAGAAACTGGGTGTCGTGGTTAATACCGGTGTTCGTGGCTGCTAACGTTGTGATGTTTGTGGTGGAGATGTACTTGAACAACTGCCCCAAACATATTAATAACAGGGGTTTTAGGTCTGGAGATGACGGTGGTGATGGGGATAAGTGCGTGGCGAGGTTTCTTGGGAGGTTTTCTTTCCAGCCTCTCCGGGAGAATCCTTTGTTTGGCCCTTCTTCTGCCACGTCAGATTCTTCTTTTCATTTATATATATATGTGTGTGTGTGTGTGTGTGTGTGTGTGTGTGTGTGTGTGTGTGTGTGTGTGTGTGTGTGTGTTGTCAATTTTGATGTGTTAAAAATTGGGTCTTGAAAAATATGGTGTGTTAAAAATTGGGTCTTGAAAAAATATGATGTGTTAAAAATTGGGTCTTGAAAAATATGGTGTGTTGATTGATTTTGAAATTATTAATTTTTTTTTTTTTGGTTAAATAAACAACGTTTGCTTTTGTAATAATGCAGATTAGAGAGGTTGGGAGCACTAAATTGGACAAAAGTGGTGCATCAGCATCAAGGATGGAGACTAATCTCCTGCATCTGGTTACACGCCGGTATCATACACCTGCTTGCTAACATGCTCAGCCTCGTCTTCATCGGTATTCGTCTCGAGCAGCATTTCGGATTCGGTAACAAAATTAATCACCACTTGAAAAATGTAGCGGGAAATTCATGTTTTTTTTTTTGTTTTTTTTTAATATGCAATTTTCTGATTTATGTATATACATATTGGCAGTGAGAATTGGGTTCATTTATCTATTATCCGGATTCGGAGGCAGCGTACTATCTTCGTTATTTATACGCAACCGAATCTCCGTCGGAGCTTCCGGTGCACTATTCGGGCTTCTTGGTGCCATGCTTTCCGAGTTAATTACCAATTGGTCTATATACACTAACAAGGTGACTTGACTTTTTCGACGCATTTAAATTTGTTCAAAAATAAAATTTTAAACCCTATATTGATTAATATGTTGTGCAGGTTGCAGCACTATTGACACTATTGGTGATAGTTGTAATCAATTTAGCTTTGGGAATTCTTCCACACGTCGATAACTTTGCCCATATCGGAGGATTCTTGACCGGATTTCTACTAGGGTTTATGCTTTTGCCACGTCCTCAATTCGGGTGGATTGAACGGCACAATCTTCCAGTCGGTGTTCGTGTTAACTCCAAATATAAGGCTTTCCAGTATGTCTTGGGCCTGATTTCTTTGATACTACTAATCGCCGGGTCGGTTTTTTTTTTTTAAATTAATAATTCTAATTTATTTATTTTTGCAGTGTTGTATTGTGGGTCCCTCTAATATAATCTGTTTTGTGTAATTAAACAGGTTTTGTGTTGGGCTAGTGATGCTGTTTAGGGGAGTGAACGGGTACGAGAGATGCCGGTGGTGTAGGTATGCGAGCTGTGTTCCGACTTCTAAATGGAAGTGTGATGAGTATTGATTAACGTTCGGTTCTTCAAAAAAATTATGTTGTTTAGTGTAGAATGTAATTCTTGTTTTCGTATTTGTTTCCATTAGTTTGTTTTGTAGCTTTGTGTTTGCGACTTTCTTCGTTAGCGTCTTCACTTTGAATTTGAGCATAGCATAAATTTATTTATTCTATGAAGCAACAATATCAATATTTCCAATGGAGTTGTTATATGCACATTCAATTTTCCAAATCCATTAATCACACATTGTAACAAAATCAAAAAAAGAAAAAGAAAAACACACACACATACACACAGAAGTTGGTTTGCTAGACCGGCTAGCCATACGTGGAACTAAAACCATAAGGTGCACCCTGATGTAGAGAAGCGTTACCCCGTAGTCCATTCTCCGAATCCAATTCCCAAAGATTTCGACCGACATTCGAACTAGTTCCAAGTCTCTGCTTGGGCACACTCTGAGACCTAACCTTAGCCCGAGATGACTCCGTATTTGCCATGTAATTTCGGTAGTAGTAATCCCCAAACAAGCTTCTAGAACATTCACTTCTCGTGGGGGTGACCACCCCTCTCAGGTGGTCCACATTCGGTCTAGTACTACTACTACTACCACACACTCTCGGGCTGCTCTCAGACGAAACACTAGGATTAATAATTGGTTTTTGAAGTTTCTCAGAAAAACTCTGTGAAGTGGGGAATGTTCGATCGGCTCGTCTGCTGACGTGGCGAAGAGGCTTCCACGTGTCGACTTCGAGTATTTTGTCGCTTGTCTCGTTGTCATAGTGGCGGTGGCGGTCCCACGTGGATTGCTGCTCCATCCAGTGATCCTCATCCAACCATTCTGAAGCTTCCTCCTCGTTCATGCTATTATTGCTAGTATGCAATCTCGAATTATATTGCTGCATTTTCAGGGATTTAATTATATGAAAAAAAATAAAAAAATAAAAAGATGAAATGAAACGAAGTCAAATTTGTCGCGTTACGTTTGTCATAGAACCACCGTGTTTCGTGTTAGTTAACCGCTGGTAATAGTTTCTCGGATTCACAATGCCCTGCAGTAATAAAGTGCATCTTAGAACATGATATCAAGAAACATAGCAAGTGGCAATCTTAAACTTGCAATTACCGTTATTTCGTGCTTTATTCAATTAAGGAAAAAAAACTTACCGGACGACGAGAGTCAGAGAAGTCGGGTAAGTAAGAGCGGTGGGCAGAGGCTCGAGCCTGAATTCGAGCCATTGATTGCATCCGACGGAGCATTTCTGCACTTTGTTTCCTGACAATGTGGCCTCTTACAATTGCTTGAAGCTTAACCAATCCCTTTAGTGCCCTTAATGCCCTTCTAGCCTATAATTACAAATTGCAACGCGTAATCAAATACCTTCGTGTTTTATATTCATATTCGAACGACAAATACTTCTCTCGTGAAACCCGAAAATCGAACTATTGTCGCTTTATTCACACTAGAGTAACATTGTTGCATATGTGTCATAAGTCATGACAATTCACAGATAAAATTCCCTTAATTAATTAATTAATTATGATTCATTAAAAAATGAACAACATCATAGCTTTTTTCCAAAAGTTCAATAAAAGGAATTAGCATCTCATCTATCCAGCCATAAAGTTAATTAGCATATAATTCTTTTTTATTTTTTAATTCAAAAAAGAAAATACCAAGTTGCAGTAATGATTGATTAACTAATTAAACAGGTTTAGCCCCACCACTAATTAATAAAAATAATTACAGAAAGGTAAAATAGTAGAATAATAATTGTTATCCAGAGGTGAATTTCAAGCCAACAGATAAAATTATCATTAATTGAAACAAAAAATAGCTCAATTAATTCGTAAAAAAAAAGAAAGAAAAAGAAAAAAGAAAAAAGGATAGCTTTAATACATGATTTGAAGTAATAGTATGTATACTAACCAAATAGGCTCGAAAAGCGGACTGAATCTTGATAGCCGCCGTTACGCGCCGCCTGTCACCGCCAATATATGACCTGACGACATTCCTCCCACTACCACCACCGCTGGTCAACCTCACTACCTCAGCCGCGGCTTGAGCCGCCGCAAGAGCAGCCTCCGCCACAGCCGCTGTCGCCGCCGCCACCGCTATTGCATGCTTGTTAGCATCCATCCCCTCAGTGTAGCGGCTCGCCGAAGGTTCTCCATTCTGTAACTTATTATAATTGGATTTCGAGAGAGCCCATTTACTCTTCTTCTTCTCCTTCTCCTTCGCCGGCGCCGCCGCCGTCTGCGGAGAAGAAGAACCCGGCGGAGACTTTTTGGAGGTTAAAAGTGAACGGAACCACTTGCCGGTCTTACCCATGTCTCATTTTCTTGATTAAAATGTGTGTTTCAACATTTTCTTGAAGAGCGGATTCGGAGGTATTTATGTGTGCGTGGGAGTGGGGGATTGAGTTTAAGAAGACGCGCGAGTAGGAGGAGAGTGGAGATGACGCGCAGCGGAGTTGTGGTGGTGGTGGTTGGTAGTTGGGACCCGGTACTTTTAAAGTAGACGACATTTGACAGGTAATAACTAATTAGACCTTTGGTCCTTTTTTTTCTTCTGTTCCCCACTTTAATTTCATCACTTATATAAAATAAAAGCATATTTTTACTTATGACTTACCCAATTTTATTTTATTTTAATAACATTTTTGTTTTCTCAAAAAAATAAAAAATTAAAATACAAAGTTGATAGAACCATAAATGATTCACTCCTGTAAAATAATAAATTGTCGGCAATAAATGTTGTGTATTTCATTCTACACGGTTACACATTGGTCCCAATAAGAAAGTGACACCCACATAAATTAAACTACTATTCCTATTTATTTGGTGTTCCAAAATCCAACGTTTTATTTTATTAATTAATGAGCATATATTAATATTTTATATTTTATAAAAAAAAAAAAATAGAAGAGTCTACAAGTAGAAGCCCAGCCCGGCTCTTCTACAGCCAACTTGTGCAGGAGACTCTTAGTGGGCTGAATATTATTTTTGGGCTTCAAAATTATATGGGCCTAAAAATATAAATATCCCATTTTTTCAAATTAATTACTTTTTTAAAATTCGGCATTGAGTATTAATTTTGTAATAAATATAAATTAATTTTATTATTATTGTAATTAATAAACTTTATTTTATTGCAAAACATGGAGCCAATAAGACTGACATTATTTTCTCTTCCCTGATCCACATTTACATTGAACTTGCAGATCAGTATTCAGACAAGTACTAAAAGCAAAAGAAAAAGGAATATATATATATATATATATATATATATATATATATATATATATATATATATATATATATATATATATATATATTAAATTAAACTCCTCCGCATTATTGGGACTTTTTGGCATTAAGCATCTATCAAACTCAGTTTGCTGCAATCACATGAAAACATATTTAATTAGATAAAAAAAACAATATTATATGCACTTCATGATTAAATTAAAATTAGCTCTTACTTTTCACTTCAATCGGAATATTCAATTTAGATTCCTATTTTTTTTTTCTTTTTATCTATATATATATTAATTGATCGGCCGGAGTTGAAAAATGAAAAGACTAATTACCAGAACAAGTGAGTGGAGGGAGGTTGCACTGGACGGGAATGCGGGAGGCGATTCTCAACGTGTTGCAAAGGCAGTCGCGATCCACCGTCGACAGGGCGGTGCAGCACTCAGAACCCGGGGTGGCGCCGCCGGGAATCAGAAACGGCGCACACACATTCAGGTTTCCGAGCGTTGCAGCACAGTTGGTACTGCTTTGTGCCTCTGTTTTCGTGATCACCTGCGTTTGATCAGCCACCACCAATATTAGCATCACCACAGGTAAAACCGACTTCATTATTCCACTCATTTCTTCTTCTTCTTCTTCTCCGATTATTGATCTTCTTCTGTGATGATGATTGTGGTAAATTAGATGTTAATCAGTTATATTTATAGATATGATTAACGTATGTATAGCATGAATAACCTAATTGGCCATTCTGTGTCACCACATTTGTGCTTTAATTTAGCTCCCATGCTCGAATTAGTACTGCATGACAGGTGTTTGACAAAAGGTCTAAGAGAAAACAATGCTAGTTGTTTATACATTATTCTGTGAGGTCAAGGTTCAAAATAATGGATTATCATCTAATCACAATATAAATATATATAATTCAAAATAACAAGAAAACTAAACACTTATTTCCTTTAGAAAGAGAAGTAAATTAAGATAGTAATTAAGAAAAAAATATTTAAGCTAATTAATTAAGCAGAAGCTGGAGCTGTCCAATACAACTTGACAGCAAACAGAAGCTTTTCCCTCTCTAATGGCCCATCTTCATGGTCTACAATCTGACTTTCCCAATTCAATCCATCAGCTATTCTCTTTGCCTTAACCAATTCGTCTACATCGTCCCGTATTATTAAACTTCCTTCCGGTCTTAAAATCCTGTCCATTTCTAACATAATGTCTTCCATTTCACATCTACACCACCAAAAAGAAAAGTCAAGAACAATTTAATAACTAACGACAAAATAAATAAATAAAAGTCTACGTAAAAAAAATGAGGATGCAAACAGAAGAGCACCTCTCTTTGTAGAGTGTGAAAACTGAGTCAGCATGAATGAGGTCGTATGTTCTAGGGTAAGTCGACATTGCTTCACACCTGAACAGAAACGATTAACTTTAATCAATCAATGAATTGCTATAAAAATATGATAGCAAGAACCACGACGACATATATAGTATATAATACCAGCTCTGATAAGTCCCGATTAATCCTCGTTCGTAGATAACTCCTAGAGTGTTGACCTTAGCCTCAACCGGCACTATGTTCATCACCCAAAGCGGGTCCTTAACCAAATTAGCAGCAAACCCACCCAAGAAAGCGTTCATGTCAAGAATGTTCCGGTACCTTCCGGCTTGGCCGAGCTGGTTATTGACTGTTTTATAGTAGGAGACTCTCTTCTTCCATAGTTGCAAATCTTGCTGAAAAATCTCGGGGGTAACTCCTTGTATAGTCCCACGAATAATCCTAGGTGGTACAGTGTTCAATCTTCTCGGCCATTTTTCAAGTTCGCCTCCAGCTATCTCGTCGTTGTTAGAAACTTCAGGTAAAGGAGTCAGGCATGTTTCCAAGTTAGTATACCTACAAAAGAAAATTGATTTTTCGTTATAAACTTGATGAAAGATATGATTAATTAATACTTGTGTGTGAAACTTTTAGTCACAAACCAAGCTTTATCGGGATCCTGGGCAGGACAAAACGGAGGGTTCTTGAAAATCTTCCGGAACCTCTTGCACTTCAAATGATTAGTTGGTTTTTGCCATATGGAAATATCGTCCTTTTCGATTAACTTTTTCCAGCATAAACTCTTTGTAACATTCTCGATTTGCATCTGCTCGGAGTTTAAATCATCCGTTGTTCTCTCCCAACCTTTCCAGTGTTTCTTCCAGTTGATTGGCGGACCAGAGAGGATCCAGTATCCACCTGGCCTCAAAACTCGATCCACTTCAATCAAGTAGGCCCCATCTGCTCGATTGAAGTGAAAAAAAAGGTTTTATAATATAACAGTAAGTATAGACCGCAAAACTTGAAAAGAAATTGATAGGTGAAATTACCATGTTGACCCCAAGGAATGAGGCAACGTGAGCAATGAGCCATGTCGAAAGCCCTTGATGGATATGGGAGCCTCTTAGAGGCGATGACACCTATCAAAGCCGGTACTCCTCGCTCGAGTGCGAACTGAACCTGCGCTTCGTGTGTGTCTCTCGGTGCAAACGACATTGGGAGGATGTTTCTTGATAAGAGATAAGCTCCCCAACTTGCAACCTAATTCAAAATTTAAATAGTAATTAAAATCAACATACTGTTCTTAACAGAAAAAAGGTAAATTTGGTAGCAAACACATTCAAGATTATACTTTTGTATTATATGCATGTGATGCTTTGCTATTTGTGGACGTGGCTTCATGCACGGACTTGTTGCCAGGAAAATAAAAAAGTTGTTTGATTTCTTGAGGGAAAATAAAAGAATCCATATAAAAGAAAAGGCTGGTTTTCTGTATCTGACCACCCACATTACCCCACACCTTTTATCATTAAAGAATCCATTTTTTTTCACCTGAAATTCTGCTGCTAAATCTGCTTTGCAACACACTATAATCTTGTCTGTAATCACCAAATCTTATCCCTAATTGTCCAATTAAATATTCGTAAAAAGAAACCTTTCACAGATTAGATAGCATTAATTATGTAAATCCTTAATATCATACCAGAGTCAAAAATCCTTTTAATATCATACCACACGTTTTGGCAGGCGATTCTGACTAAGGAAATAAAGAATGCAATTACGAACAGCTTTTTCATCATACCAGTAATAAATTAATAATTTTGAAAGAAAGTTATCGAAATTGAAACTATTATTTTATTTGATTTTAAGGAAATTGAACATCAAATTCAAGAAATAAAAAATGGGAGTTAAAAAAAAAAAAAAAGGCTTACCCCGCAGCCAGTGTCAATGGCAGTCCTAATAGACCCATCTTTCAAATTAATCAACTTTCCGATATCATCAATGTAAGCGTCGGCGCCGTTAGGGAACATGGTGCCGCCGCCGGGGAATCTGAACCGGTCCCCCTCGAACCGGATCCAATTCTGAACCGCTTTCTCGACCGTCAGCTCTTTGTGGGGTACATTTGCGTACCAGGCTAGATCTCTGCTGAGCGGCCACTTGAACGGGTTCTTGTAACCGTACGGCGCCGGCACCCTGCATTTCAGGAGCTCGTCTTTCTCCGGGCAGTGTCTCTCTCTGCGCATGACGTCAGTCCTTTCGCATGTCAGTGATTTCT